CTTTCTTGCTCCTTTTGACTGTAGTGCTTCCAACATCCGTCAGAATTCTTTTAAGCACTAATCAAACAAAATTTTATAGCATTCGCTTTTCTGGGTAAAATTCAAGGGCGAATAAATCGTTAAAAAATAAAATCTTTATCCTGCTTAGTTGGTCATAATTTCTGAAATTATCCAGAATGAGAAATCGACGCTCATAGACGTATAGATATTGCGGTCATGCCATGGCTCAAAAACACTTCTGGAGATGGCATTTGCCAAAAATCCTCTCATTTCTTTCTGTAAGCATGAATGTAGCACATCTTAATAACACTTCTTGCAAGAAAGATTCGGCTTCAGCGCATAAACAGTCGGAAAATTTTACTGAGACTTTTGGGCCTAGTACAGAAAGGCTCAAACCAACATTTTGAAATATTATCTTTCATTTTTTTGGTCTCTTCCTTCCAAGACCTTTTCATCCATAATTTTACTAATCGCTCGTGGTTACAAGGTAAGCCAATCATCAAACAAATTAACGAATTTCGAATGGAATTACGAATTCTAAAAAATGAGGTTAAAGAAACGTTTTTGCTCTTCAACCAGGTTCTTGCCCGTGTGTGTGTGATTTATGCCAATAAGTGTGTGCTATGTTTGCTTGAAATTTGCTGCATTTGATGGTTATTGATAAATGCAAAATTATGGACTTTTGATAAAGTTTAGCTCTTCAAATCAAAACTTTGCGAAACACGCGATATTTTTGCACCGCTCTGATAGATACTGTAGCAGCACACTTGGTTGCTGTGATCTCGAATGCTTCTTTGGCATCTTCCATTTTTCATCCACCCTCACATCTGAAACAAATTGCTTCCAATTTCATGCAACATTGCAGTCCACTTCCGGGTAATGCAATTTTCTACGAGTACCAATTTCCCCAACAGCATTGGTATGACAATTTCCCCTCATTCTTTTGATGTCTCGTTTTGCAGAAGCTTAGATGAAGCTGTCTCTGCTTTGTCACTTTATGTCAACAGCGGTTAGATTGCGCAGTAGGCTTGTTTTGAAACCAGATTTTCTTGGAAAGAAAGAACTACAATCTACCCGGTTTTGGTGGTTATTAAAGTAGATTTTTTCTAGAAACTCTAGGTGCGAAAATGAGGATGAACCGAATTCGGAGATTTATATTCACATGAGTATCTTCGTTGGCAAGCTTTTGCAGGGTTGGATAAATCTTCTGAAGAAAGGGATCTGAAGAAAATTCTCGGCGCTCACACAGATTTGAAATTGTAACAAGTAAATAGCACTCTGAGATGTAAATAAATTAACAACATTCTGTAAAGTGTGTAAATCCGTCACAGGTGGCACCTTTTAGCTATAATAAAAAAGAAAGTTATTTGTGTTACTTCTCCATTCCATTTCGTTCCTCCCTTAGACGAAGTATCACTTGATTTCTAGTCTTTCGCGGAACTCCTCAGTAAGAAAGGAAGACTTAATATCAAGTAAAAAATCAAAATTTTATAAATTTTGTATAACAGTTAACTATACATTTATAAGTTTAAATGCTATGCGCGACTTTCCAATTTGCTTAGAGCTTCATAGATATCAAAAATGATATTAATGAGAAATCAGCTAGGCCGTCATCTCGAGCAGAATGTAGCTCTGAAGCTCCATCAGCAAGATTTTGTTGATTAGTTGTATTCAACCATTTCAAGCATCCAAGACCTTATCTTTTTTCGCCTTTTTTTAGGCAGAGAGAATAAGTTTTGTTTGTGGGAAAATTGAAATTTTTGGAACCAGCACATGCATCATTTACGAATCGTGATCAATTCGGCAAAAATCATTTCGTTGTATTTCACAATTTTTTTTCTTGACGGCAGAAAATTGGCAATAATGAGAGCACGGAAGATTTTTCATAATGTAAACGTCTGTTTTGGTGTGCACTCGGAAAAAAGCTTCGAAGTTGATGGGAATTAGTGATCTGAAAAAATTTGATTTACAGATTCGAAAAAAACTTCTTACATAGACCAACGAAAAATTACGCTGCAAAATGTAATTCTCAAAACGAACAAAGAATTTTTCACAACTTTCGGATAACGTCAAGTAATTTCTAGCGTCAGCCCCGAGTACTATTTCTCGAATGTCAAGCGATACGCGATCTCTCGAGCGATGGGGCTCCGAGAAGCAACAGCATTTTAATGCATTTGAGCAGCTCCGATCCGTTCCATCTCGTATGTTTCTGCTTTGCCAAAGCCCAGTCATCATCCAGAGATTCTTTGTGATATGTAGTGTTTGCTTATCTGCGATCATATGTGTGTGTTTATTTTGACTGGTCAGAATCGACCGCAGTGTAATCTGTTTTTCGCCAACTGTGTCACAATGTTCATTGGTTAGTTTTCAGGCAACTGAACTGCATTATTTATTTTATTCTGCACTTCTGTACTATGCCAGTCCGTCTCATACACTCTCTTTTCTAATGACAGATGATATGTTTCGTTGAAACAACCGTTTATTTAGCTTCACTTGTTTTTGCGACCCACATGCGCACAAATCCCACATATTACAAAATCAATACATTGTTTCATCATAACTTTTCTCAAATTTTTCAATTTGTTCTGCAAAGAGGGTGTTTAAATTTTTTCTTTTTACTCATTTCACCCAAACCATGTAGACTTCTCTTTTTTACTCCAATTATGGACGAATATTGGTCCAATTCTGTCATGTTTCAATATCCTGAGACAATGTATTTATACAGTTGCAGTAGTCCGGGAAACTTTGCATAAACTAATACATGGTCATTTAAAAAAAGCAAAGTAGTGCGCCTACTTTAGCGTCTTTTTTTGAGATATGTTGGATAAAGCGAAAAAACCACACTGTTCTAGTCTACAGATGAGGATCTGAGAAATCGTTGATCCCATTCCGATTTTTGGTGTAATTCAATATTCTTGAATTTTAGCTGCAAACCTTATCAGGATCATAACGAATGTCTTGTGCTCCTCTCATAAAGATTGCGTTTCTTATTATGCACGATAAGCCCTCTTTGGAATTTACCCAATCGCAATAGCCCGTTCATCATTTTTGTGAAGCTTCATGCAAAAGGCAAAGAGGACTCATTAGGACCTTCTTTGAAATGTTTTTCCATGGTAACTGAAGTAATTAAATCAATTGTATTAGTTAAGTACCTCATAAAAGCTGAGTGTCTGTTTGTCTCTCTGTACGTACGTATGTGCGGAATAGAAATTTCCATTTCTAAACCGATCCTAACCAAATTCTGCACACATATACTTCGGGACGGGGAACGTGTCGAAGGCTAGCGTTACGGGGCTGAGAGTTGGCGCAGGGGGTAAGTGATCACGCTGATTACGAATATAATAACTGTTTTTATTGACAGGGCTGGGCGGAGCCGGGTATGCCAACCAGTAAATAAATAATTTTCTGTGGCTGTAAAGATAGTCTAGAAGCAGTTCTTAGGTTGTAATCCTCCACATGTTTACTTACGGATTATCGCTTGAGTACAGCTGGTCATACAACGCTCGCATCAGTGTGCTCTTCACTTTTGTTCAGTAGTTGAGTTATTGTTAGGCTTAAAAAGTTTTTGAAGCTACTCCTAATATCTTCTATCCTTTTGATCCGCTGGTACTTTTTAGTACTTAGTTTGGGCACAACGCTCGAGATAATCCAGGATTGATGATGTATTAGCTTGTCCGTTGGATCGACATGTAGTACATTTTTTCATGTATATTCATTTTCAGAATTTTCTCTCTCTTGCTCTTGATGTCTCCACAAATTTTTTTCAATTTTAAATACAGAAATCAAGAAGCATTTTTGCACAGCTCATTGATTGTAATCAAAAATTCCTTTTCTTCACTAAATTCGAGCAAGAATCGCATTCTCGAAATATTTGAAACGAAGCACTTGTAAGAGATACACTCCTGCGCCCGATAGAGAGTAGAGTCGTTTTGCTAAATTGATTCATCCAAAATTGAAGTGGGTAGGATATGCATCGTTGATCTACTGACGCACTGATTTTTAATTGGCAATATTCAACATCCCTTCGCTGTACCATAATTCTTCATTTATTTCTATTACACTGGCCCACAAATTACCTCGCAAATGCTCAGATTTCGCATCTATTCTTCAAGCTTTGATAAAAGTTTGTGTGCTTTGATAAGCAAAACCTATATAGTGTGTATGAAACCAGTGGTTGTATCATGTGGTTCTGGTTAAGCAAATTATTTTGTAGCTATATGCACAGATGCAGCATCTCAGAAGGCAGCTGCTCTTCCTCTCAAACAAAGCCATCTTTGTCTCATTCTCTGGAAGTGATTCCCATAAAATTCTCTCGCTTCTAAATTAATTACTGGTCAAATTTGTAGGTGAGATAGATTCGCAAGGAGATTATGAGCGCGTTAAGATTTTACCTTGTGCAGTGACTCACTAAAGCTTTTGAAAAAATTTGATTACATTTTTCATTTTGTCCTGATCTTGCTAATGAAACAGTTATTCCTATCACTAAAATAATTATAGTTATCAAGCTTTCATCTATATCACTTAGAAAAGTCGTTTTTGTTACAACAAAGTGATAGAATCCAAAAACCCTGAAGATTTTATCTTCAAATTTGGTGCGTATGTACAAAGTTTGATTCATGACCAAGTTTGTTCTACGGGCATCCAAAAAATCCTCACAACTTTTCTTTTACCTTTACGGATTTTTAAAGTTTTTATCCAACTCCACTGTGTTCCTTTTAGCATTTAGATCGAGCTCTGAGGAAATAATCTTCGTTTTACTCTACATTTATAAAAATATTATTTTCCTCGATACATCTTTGCACATCCGATTACGAGGCAGATGCTAGATGCTTGAGCACTTCGTGGGTGTCAATGATGAATCGTCTTAAAGGAGCTTATTGGGAATCCTGCTTTTTAAGAAAATGATTTGCGTGCTTTTGGCTCTCATGTTCATTTTCACTCCTCCCCGCGCTCTCCATGCAAATGATTTATTTATACCCTAGTTAGGATAGCTTATATCAGGCTCAGGATGTCTCGCCTGACTCTCTGGCTACGTGCTGGATCCGATGGTGTGAAATGCGGTGGAGACCCAGCCGCTCACAGTCTATTCATGCTGATGGTGTGGAAGTCCGAACACGATCCTAGCCTCAAATTCGATGTAAAGACTGTGAACGAAGCTCGTCCACCGCCAGAGTTCAAAGAGGTTGGCGGCAGAGGCTTAATGCATAACACACTAAGCAGTTTGATGGCTCTCTACACTGCTTAATTAGCCATAAAGCGTTTTGATGTTTTGTGTAATTGTAGCTGGGACTACGGCGATCTCCGGCTCTGCAAATATCCGACGACACAGCATTTTCTGTGGAAGACGAGATTATGGAACAATTGGACAAGTATGGACAACCTCGTGGCAGTGCGTCGTCGGAGGCAGAAGATGCCACCTCGGATCTCTTCCGTATCTTCGCGTTCTATATTAAGGACATCAAGAAAGAGCCTACGGTAGTCTGAGCACCCACTTAGCTCTAGATTTGGCTAATCTTATTTTGGTCAGGCGCTTCTCGGCGAGCTGCAACGAATTGATCAGCACCTTTCCTCAGTCCGGACCCGATTTCTTGCCGGCAACGAACTCGCACAAATCGACTGTGTCGTTCTCCCTCGACTGCACTCAATTAGAATCGCTGCCAAGGTATCAAGTTACGCTCTCCTTTTCTACAGATTCATACTCCCAGTTTTAGGCTTTGAAAGACTTTGACATACCGCCTGATTACCGCTCGTTGTGGTCGTACATGAAGCGTGGGTACGAACTGAAGGCCTTCACTACAAGCTGCCCATCTGACCAGGTGAGACTCATAATTACAACTTTGTTCAAAATAGCTACTAGCTAGTACGAGGGCTCGGCACGAGCTGGCACCAGAGACATTTCAAAGCGCAGTCCCTTTGATCTTGAAAATTCCGTACAAAGTCCCCCTTGACTCTAAACCTTAGAAGTGAATATCCTAAAAAAAACGACAAAAAATAATTTGTGTCTCGGCCACGAAAACGATACCTCTTTGCTTTTCGTCAAAAAAAAAACGCTATCCAGTTTGACCCAGTGCCAGCTGTGCCTAGCCCTGTATTGCACTGAACACGAGGAAGAAGGGCAAAAGATTGTATACATGCATCTTTCCCTTGAGGGGCTTGCATTTAACTGCACCATTAGCAAAGTCAATTTAACTGTAAGTACCCAATCCATGACCAAGTCTTTTGAAAGATTATCGTGTGATCTCAAGCTGCGTTCAAGGAAGTTTTGACCTACAGTTGAAGAAAGTGTTACCAACGACTTCCATTCACATACTTCAATATGTTACAATTACGAAAAACAAATCGAAGGCAAGAATGTCCGCAAATATACCGAACGGATGGCCTCATCGCTTCTTCTTCCGTCTACGCATAACATGCATAAAGGAGCTACAAAAAATGTTCCACTCCTAGTATAATCAAAACTCAGTAGAATCATTAGATCTGAGGAATGAGCGAAAATTAGCAGTCAGAGTGCATAAGTCTTCCAAAGCAACACATGGAAATCGTCTTTTGTGAAATTGTCACAGACTGACTTATACTTACTTACCATTACATAGCTCACAAATGTGAAAAGGGCACAGCTTAAACGGATATAACTTCGTCAACTGGCTCTATAGACCTTCTTTCCTAGCTCGTACTCTCGGTTCATGATGAGCCTTTTCTCATAATGAAATGAACTTTGTGGCATAATGCGTTCCTGCAGATAGAGCGCTAATAGGCACCGCCCACCCTCAGTTAGGGATCTTAAGCTTTAGACAGCTTGCGATAGTAGGACCCCCTATCAAGCCAATGCCGAAGTCGCGGCTCAAAATGTCCTTCGGAAGCGAGAAAATCGCTTCGGAATAACGAAGAGACATGAGCATCCCCAGTTGGCACCGCCCCCTTCAGTAATGCCCGCCCATCCGTGCGCGTCCATCCAATCACCGTTCCCTCTTTTCTTCGGGATGGAAATCGGGAATTTCGCAAATTTTCGACTTCGTAATCGGACTCAGAGACCTATGACGGCCCCGGAACAACCAAAACATGGAAGCCAGAATCGTGGACGGTTCTGATCAAATGGATGTGAAAAATTGCTAGAACACCTACCGTCAAAATTTCAATATACCCTCCGTAGCAGCTAACAGGAAGCAAGTGGATGGGAAGAATGGAATTGTTACTATCTCCTCAATCTTCTCCAAATACAGCTTCTTTGAGAGCCCGTCAAGAAATTGACCAGCATAAAGGCAACATCCACTCGGAATCTATGCTTCACAGATGAATGTGAGGTTTACGAACAGTTCCCTACTGAAATCCAGCTCATGGGTTGGGCTAATATTTATTGCCATAGAAAGAACCAACGACCAGCTAAACAGCTGCTTAGAAATGACAAGTTTCTGAAAGAAGAAAATTTCAGAAAACTCACAACGCTGAACTGATTCTTTGAGTTTGGCAGCATGCGTTCAGAAAAACTACTATTTATGCATGATTGCCCATATGTTCCATGAGCGCCATGTCGATGACGCTTACAGATTCCGCAAAATCCAGTTATTTATGGAGATATGTGCTAACAACTGACGACATTACCATTTCAGTGTCATGCAATTCATGCGAGTATGGTTTAGCCGGTAAGCATGAGACGCATTAGCCAAATTTGGACAGCTCTGACGGCATTAAAAATACCATGCGTAAGCGCAAATAATAGAAACCCGCCCCCAAAAAATTAGATCTAATGTTCTTGGGAAAACAGCTATGCTTACAATATTCTAATCCATTATCTTGTAGTGCAGTCACTTTTTACATTGACTTTTTTTTTGCAGGAAATCATTCTATACTGGTCGGATCGACACGACACCCCGAACCTCAGCGCTTCGAAGCGATCTCAGCTTACACGTCAGCAGCCATCGTTCACGCATACTATACCGAAGAACTGCATTGCTTCATCCTGAAGCCTAAGTTTATCTTCAAATGGGTGCTATCACACCAAAGTACCGGGTCGACCGCGGAATCTCTTACACAACCACAGTCATTCAATCAAATGTGCTTACGAGATGAGCCCCAATATGTACAGCAAAGGTAGTTTTTTCGATGGTAGCTGACAGTAAGTCGAATTGCGATATGGCTTCCGTGAAACTCAGGAGAAGAATGGGTATCTCCGAGGCAGACTGCCAAGACATATGTCGAAGTTTGCGATTGTTTAGAGCATTTTTATTGCTAATGCATTTATCATCGTATGGATGCATTTACTAGTGCTATTAGTAAAATTTTATTCTACCATTCACAAAGAGTTACATTGTAACATAACAATACAGATATTAATTTTGTACGCGAGATCCTTAGGATTATGTTAGAACAAATGAAAGGTATGTAAGTGACTCGGTGAACGCACTGCCAAGGGAAAGGCACAGGGTAAGTGATGAGCTAAAGCGAATCGAAAGCAAACGAGAACGTACAAATGCATTGATAAGTGTGAGTAAAAGAGGTAGAATGAGGTCAAAGGAGGAACATTGTGGGATCCACGTCGAGGTTCACATCAATTAGCTGATCGGTGTCGATGTCTAGAGAACTGTCGATAGTCTGCGATTCGGATACCTGCACAAATTAATTCTTGCTCAAAGTCTGGGGTAAAACGTCACAATCTGCCAGCACCTTCCTTCCGCTAATTCGGGCTTCTATCTCGTTGCGAATATCGACCAAAGCGTGCTCGAAGATTTTCTCCAACGTGTCCGCGCATTGGTAAACATTGCTATCCTATAAAAAGTAGCTTTGCAAAAGTATCTCAATACCAGACAAAACTCACCCTTGGATAAAATAACCTAGCATTTTCAAATAGTTGAGTCATGTCTCTTGTGAAATCTTTAAGACGCTGATACTCAAGATTTTCCAGCCGTCTTTGTATCACAGACAGATCTGAAGTGGATGATAGAATAACTATGAAAACCTTCAAAACTTCCAAAAGAAAAAAAGCTTATGCATACAAACGCTTAAAAACTCACCTATAGGATGTTCGATGACTTCGGTATAGTTTGGGAACTCCTCGGGATCTACAGGTTGACGGAATGGCCACGACATTCTGTGTTCAGCGATTGTTTCGAGAAGACGCCATACAAGGGGATAATCAGCACGACTGCAAAAACAAATAGAGGAAACTAATGATAATCATATTTCAACTATATAAAGCAGGGAATTACTCACCATAGAGTGGCATGTGTGCTGCTGGCAGCGCTGCTCGCCGATTCGTAACCTTGCGCTGTTTGAGCTTCAACACAGTTCGGGCAGACGTACTCATCCATGGCCTCAGCTTCCCTGAAATTTCGTCAGATGCAAAATACAAAAGTAGGAATGCTCTTATGTGAACGGTCTAACAAGATATTTTCAAAGCAAAACATATACAGGGTGTCCCAAAAAAATGTATCGAACGTTTGATCTTTAATAACTTCCCTGTAAGGAAAGCTTTCGTGGATCTTTGAGTGTCATGCGGTAGAGCTGGATTCAACTCAGATTTACAGTGCAGACGAATCACCGATTTCTCTTAGTTACTGTAGGATTACGGTAGGAATTTTCGACTAATTCTAAGCTTTTGACAGGCGAGAACTGCTTCTAAAAAATTCCAAAAATACCGAAGGACGTTAAACTGAGGTTTTCGGGGATGCTGAATCTAATTACAAAATTTTGTCTTCAAAGCCCAACTGAACTTCGATTGACAGGACAATGTTGATTTAGCAAATTTTGGAAAAAAAGCCAAAAATTTAGCATCACAGCGCGCATACCGTAGGAAGATGAGGAGTACGGTAGTGGAAAACTTTATAGTTAGATTCAGCATATCCGAAAATCTCGATTAACGTCCTTCGGTTTTTTGGAATTTTTAGAAGCAGTTCCCGCCTGTCAAAAGCCTGAAATTGATCGAAAATTCCTACCCAATCCTACAGTAACTAAGAGGAATCGATGATTCGCTCTGCACTGTAAAACTAAATTGAACCCAGCTCTACCGTATGACACTCAAAGATCCGCGAAAGCTTTCCTTATATGGAAGTTATTGAAGATGAACATTTGATACATTTTTTTGGGACACCCTGTATTCTAGACGATGATAACTCACAGGATATCGCCAAAAAGTTTTCAGCAGAATAACACAACAATGTACAAAAACATTAGATGTAAAAATTTTCAAAACATTGAAATGCTACCTACTAACTAGCAGCTGCTGATACAGACAATATTTGCAATGAATCAAATTCAGAATATAAACCAGACAACAATCTAAGTGCCCCTGCTGCAAAAGTGAAGACGCAACGGTTTCAATCCGATAGCTGTTATGCTAGTATATTCTTGCTAATTTTCTTCTCAAAGCAACTGTTCTTCTTTCGTACTATCCGCTAGCATCTAAAACACTGCAAGACACCAGCAATCGAGCCTAAGTCATACATTATGAGCGCGATAGGTAAAAATATGGAAACACTTCAACGGCCGAAAGTGCTTTGAACATGCATTTTATGCGAATTACAAAAAAGCTACTTCTGCAGAAGGAATCACTAGTCTAGAGAAGAAAATCTGACAAAAATATCTGACGAGGACACTTTCAGGCGGAGACCGTTCTACCACTATCCTGAAAAGCGAAAGTACGGAGAAGTCATGCTTCTATACCAAAGCGCTACCGAGCATCTGATAGCGAAAAGGAACTTCCTTCACGAATTTGATGAGATCCATATTCTCCAATCCTTTCAAATCAACTTTCAAATATCGTTAGCCAAAATAGTTCGTGGAGTTCACATGACTGCAGCTTCATTTAAAAAACCGTCTCAATTGCTTGCCGATATTCGCAGAATATGATGTAACGATTAGTGGCGCTCCAGGAAATGGAGAGGAGAGGCGGCAAAAAAAAATTCCGCCCCACCGTCCTCGAAAGAACTTTGGAATGCTTTTTGAATATTTCCAGAAGTTGAAAACTCAAATCATGGAAAAGGGCGTGGATGATGCCATGTCCCCGCAAAAATTCTTACGAAGTTAACTCAATTTTTGAATAGTTTTTTAAATGATACTTTTAGTTTTACGTAACAGGTTACTTGCACATAACGTTAGAAGCCGTGTACGCCACTTTTAGATATTTTGAATTCATTCAGGGGTAAAAGGACGCCCAAAAGGTAACCATCGTATAGAAACGTTTCTAGTCATATAAACATGAGAAAGGCAATGCAATGTGTGCATACTTGCACCTATGGTTAGAGAAATAAAAAAAAATAGGGTTTAGGCCAAACTTTTTTCGGTTTTCATCCACAAACGAGGTATATGATGCCCTCCCAACTGACGTAAAGCATATGCGTACTTCTGAGAGCCTCTTTTCACACTGACAAACTCTTTTTGCCTTCAACTTTAGCGAGATGCGTAGCGTTAATATTGGTTACCGAACACCAAAAGAGTGAACAGCAAAGTAGGATGTAAAGGTGGGTACGACCAGAGGAAAAAGCTAATTGTAAGTCCAGATCTGGGAAGATCATTTCCAGGCACAATTTTTCCATATTTTCAGAGCTGCGATAAAAGCATTGATTACTTCGTGACTCAAGATTTTTTCGGACGCAAGCAATGGCAAGCAGTGGCGTACCCAGGATTTCGGCTCGGGGGGGGGGGGGGGGGGGAGGCGCGACAAAAAAATTTTTCTAAAGAAGGTGCGTGGCGTTAGCCACACACTCCGAAAATTTTTTTGGGGTGCTTCTCAAAACTTTTGCGGATCCCCGACCCCTAAAATCTGGAAAAAGGGGGCGTGGCGTTTGCCACGCCCCTGAAAAAAATTTTTTTACAAGGCTAATTTGAATTTTTTAAAATTTTTAAAAATTATTTTAATTATTTACAGAAATAAACAAGTCACTTGCACATTTTTATAATCCATATAAGTAACTTTCAAAATCCCCCCCCTCGGTACGCCACTGATGGCAAGATATATGATGCTCACTTAAAGAAAGATATGTTATACCGAAAAGTTACCAATAGTGAAAATGCTGTGCGTTTTTATTTTTACTTTTATTTTATTTTATTTTATGTTTTTTTGTTTTACCTCAGCCTCGCACCGACAACGGCTATGGTTGATGCAGTGGAGGGATTGAAAGCATAGAAATGAATAAAAAATGTGGTCGCCTTTAAAGACAACCTGATATGTTTTGATAAGAAGACAATCTCAAGATTATCCAGAGAAAGGCTATGAGAATGAACGTGAGAAAATATAGGTATTGCAAGAAAGCGGCGTACTATACACAGAAATTATACTCACTCTTTTGTGATTCCCACGCAGCGTGGATGGAACCATCCTTCGCAACTTTCACAGCCAACGTAAAACCTGAAAAGGAGGATGGAGTTAGAAATCATGAATAAATCGAACGGAACTTACTCTGTATCATTGTACGGAGTTCGGCACACGCAATAGAGTTCCTGCTGTTGACGCGCCTTTTTCGCCTCTTGAAGACACTCTCGACAAGTCCACCCATCCATTTCTTTATAGGTATCTTCTTTCACACCAACGCATCTTCCATGAAACCAACGAAAGCACATTTCGCATGGTAGATAGAATCTGTAATCAACCGCACTGTACAAATAAATGAGTCAGCTCTTCTCTAAACTCCATTTCAGTGGTAGTAGCGGCATACTATAGCGGCATACTATCTGATAAAGAAAAGCCATACAAGTTGGCATCAAAGATGAACTTATAGACGGATTTATATTTGAAAAAAGCCGATAGAAAGACTTTGTCTAAACTTAGATCTCCACATCTTGTGAATGCTTCCCCTCCCCCCCCCCCCCTCTTGGATGTATAGTAGATGACATAGACGTGCATACGAATAAACAATTGTAGATTTTGCGCTCATAAATGAAGAAGACGGGGTGACTAAAAAGTGGCAAACTCCGCCCTCAAAGACCTTTGCCTCCTCCGCGTAATCAAAAGTATACTAATGATATATATCATACTATGTATATATTAACTAAATACAAATCAAAGCAAGCTGCATATTTTCTTGCAAAATCAAACAACATTTCGACCTCAAAACGTTAAAATTTTGGCAACACTAAGTTGTCAAAAGGTGCATAATATGTAATACTAGAGCAAATAATACAATTGCACAGAAGTTACCTTCTGGGATTGTACGTTGTTCGGCAGATGCAGTGCAACAAGTTGGGATCCAATCCTTGAGGTGGTGATTTGTCGAAGGAATAGTCTTCCGTCGAACGCTGAACGAACCATATACAGATTTCTAGAAAGAAAAGCATAGCGGCACGACCTACCGTGCTGACATGCTCCTTGTGATACCGTTTAGGTGGACGTCCTCTTCGCCGAACTTCTGACCCAGACGATGACGTATCCTCCAGTTCGTGCTGCAAAAGTTGCTTTTCTGCCATTAGATGGTATAGAAAGGCAAAGCAAAAAGTTCTCACCCTTCTTTTGTGCTTTGGAGGCGATGGAAGCGCTGGTCCTCTCCTTGATGGTTCCCAATCCGCAACCGTATTCGATTCGAGAGTTTCTTCTTGGACCTCTTTTTTGACATCTTCATCCAATTTGACTTCATCCTTGGCTTCCTAAAAATTCAAACACTGCAGCAGTGACGGAGTTGGCCCTCTAGAGGTAGAACTACAGTATGCATGCTTTTTGAGAATATATGAACAGATCGATGAAGCTTTTTCCATAGACTTTCTTGTTTTGATCACGTGTACACAGAAGCTGGTTTCCTTGTCACACTTGGTTCTACAGCGAGCATAACCAACGCACCTCTTTGATGTCTATAGTTTTCTCTTCCTTGATCCAATTATCCACTACATCTCCGCCAAGGCTAATTTCAGCTGGATTGATCGCTACGGGACGGGGCCGATTGATCTCAGCTGTTTTCGTCGCAGTATGCCCGCGTGAGGCTGAAAGTTTCTAACATTTCCAACGAGTGGGAAAGCAAAAAGATAAAAAATGACGTTTCAGCATGTCTATGCGATAAAGCCCACTTCGGAGCCGAATGCTGACTCTTGTGAAGCTTACCATCTATTTGTATGGGAGGGTCTTTTTCGGCATCTAGCAGATATCCAAAGTCCTGCCAGTCCTCATCGACCGTAGAAAACTTTGGGAAGAGTTCATCAGTGATCACCTCAGTGAGAGTGGATGACGAAGAAGCGGAGCGATGAATAGAGTCTCTAGTGGCCACAGGGCGAGGGGATTGAAAAACACCTTTCATGGCGATTTCGTTGTTTGTCAGCCACCAAATAAGCAAAGATCAGGAAAGCCCGGTCACCCAGTTCGCGCTTTTTATAAGGAACACCGCCGTCCGCCGCCTGACCAATCCGCCCATACGACGCTCTCTGCGCTGCGCAAATGTGCGTCTCTTCGTTAATAGTATTCTCTCGCCCCGAAAATCCTCGTCCAGCGTCGTCTCCGTGATTCCAGAACTATCTATTGTTGACGAGTGACCGACAAGTGACCGTCGCGACCATCACATGACGTAGCCTGCGCGGTTGTGGGCAACGTGCCCACAATGGATGCAGAACAATCGGAAATTGTAGAATACATAAGGCTATGGAAAAAACCGTCCCAAAAATTCGGCGTGATCTCGGAAGGAAAGTCCGCAGTACTTCCAGCGGGTGCTTCCAATGAGAGAAGAACGTGCGCAAAGCGCATTCAATGAGTTGAGGACTCAAAATATTTATCAGTTAATTATTAACGGGTAATATTATTCTGCTATTTTTTCTTGTTCCAGTTTAGATGATTGACTACACCGAGTAGACTTTGCCCTAGTGCACCTCACACACCTGCTCAAAGCTTTTACTTTTTTGGAAGTATGAAGATGACGCCAAATAAATCTAGTTCAGAGAGATTCTATCATAGTCACACGGGACGCTAATGTGGATTTTCATTTGACTTATTCTATTCTGTTCTCACAAGTATCTTCTTTGAGTCTCCAACCAAATCACTCCTCGATTTTATCAGAAAAAGGTTTTACAGCTCCTAATACGTCTACCAGTCGCGGAACAAGGGTGGAGGTAGAGAGAGGAGGGGGAGGGGAGGTGCCGCTGTGCAAATGACTTGTTTATGCTTTAAATAAAAGGACTTTTGAGATCTTTCACAGTCCAAACTAGCCTCATAAAAAATTTTCTAAGAGGCTAGTTTTCGAGGGGGGGGGTGGGAGAGGGAGAAACTTTGGCCCCGAAAAAATTGGGAGGCATTTCAAAAAATTCGGAGTGCGCGGCTGAAACCATGCATCAACACTCAAATTGTCGTCTCCCTCCCGGACGAAAATCCGGCACCCCGTTGAGTCTAATTAAACAAAGGTGAAGACCCCCTCTCCCCCACCCCCCCCCCCCTCCCTCACATATGGGTCTTTTCGTGGTCTACACGAGTCATAAAACTATGCAGGTGAGTAGATTCTGCTCATAATTGAAACAACGGTCTGCTGTCCAGGCAGTCACCAGCTGTTTTAGACTGTGAACGGGGCGATATAGCCGAAACAGTCAGATAAAGCAACTTCTAATCTTGGTGTGAAGCTCAAGAAGCCCTCAGAGCAATTTCTACAATGCTGTTGAGCGACTGCCGTACTAGGATTTAAATGAAACAACTTTGGAAAATTCTGTAAAAACCGCCCGTCCTCTTTTTCAAACGCAGCGCTATGAGCATGCAAAAATTTGGAAAGCATCCCAAAAAGCCTTTCGGAAGTAGTGCCTAACGCCACTCTCTTCATCCAAAACAGCTTTTTTCTCTCTCTCTCCCCACCCCCCCCCCCCCGCTCTAAAAAAAGAAATTTCTTTTCACCTGCCACTGCTACCAAACGAGCACTGGCCGAAGTCATAGCTGAGGATTATGCTACCAGGAAAACACCAGTGTAATTCAAGATGCTCCCATCAGTTCAGGAGTGATACTTGTAGCTTAGCGACTGCCAAAATAAATTCACAGTCTTTTCTTTTCGAGTTTCTCAATTTTACTAAATTGATTTGATGAGGAAATTTATTTGCCATCAAAAGATAGTTATGTAAGTCTTTCTAGCACTACATACAACTACCTTTGGAAAATCACTGATTTACTTCATGAACTCAACCCTCGAGACACTCATATCCCTTCAAGCTACCCGGCTGCCATAGGCTTGAATGTAGCATCTGGAACAGTTCTACGACTTGATGCTAGTTCAATTTCGAGCACTATAGCCAAATGGCGAACAAATTTTCAAAAAATGCGGAGTCCTTAGAAAACTCTTCAAAAATAACGGAGTCCTCAACCCTTTGCTGGAATTACTTCTCTCATGCTACTTCTCCGTCCCCTCCCCCTCCCCAGTAGTTGACTGTCACATCTGAGCAGATGTCGCTTTCAGCCATACTACGCAAAGGAGAGAGAAACTGGTCATTACGTAGTGGCTGATGCTTTGGTACGAGCGCATGAACCAATTTCATGCAAAAATAGTTACCTCTTAGATGAGATTTCATTCGTGACTTTCTCCACGGTGTAGGTAGTCCACACAGTTCCTCAGCCTGGTTTTCCAGTTTTGTTCTTCTTTTATTGATCTCTTTGCGAAGACGGTCTATATGCTCCGCAAGTAGAGCTTCTTTCTGGTTCGCGAACATGCGTCTGCTAAAAATACTTCTTTATAACTTCCTCAACAGCTGTGAATTTGTTTGTAGTACCGTTCAATATGGGGCCTTCTTGGCTTTAGTAGCAAATTCTTATACCACCCAAATTGTTTATCCCATCGACATACTTGCATAACCATTGTTTCCAAGGTCGGAAAATATTCGTCAATCTCCTCATTTGTTTAAGGAGGCTTCAGATATTACCTGTTTAACAACGCGGGTGTCAGGAGAGTCATCCTTATGAATGGTCAAGTTGGGAGTATAGCGCGAAAGTGCCGGATGCGAATAAAGGCTGTAGCCAAAGTGTGTGGACGATGGCAGCATTCTTGCATGCTCTTCCGGATCTTCATCATAAGGTCTTCCAGCAGCTGAACCGTGGCAGTTTGAAACAAATAATGCCCAAACATATTAAGCGTACGATCTCGTGCTCCCGGTTCCGGACGTCCCCCTTTGTCAGCTTCCTCCTGACGCATAAGTTCCTCTTCTCTCGCAATCGCCTCAGCAATCGCTCTCTCCTCATCTTCATTGTTTTCAAAATCAAATCGATACGGTCGACTTAGAATCCTAAACAGTGAAATGAGTATCTACTACGGTATGAATGCCTGCAATTTTAGATACTTTCATGAGTCGGTCTTCACAGTGACTCGATATATTGAATTTAGAAAATTATATAATTTGAGTATGGACATGGGTCTAGGACCAAGACTATAAGTGGTCTTCCGATTCAACAGCTGATGTACCAGTGAAAGCGTAAGTTCTAGAATAGAATCAGTTATAGCATGTTAACGTCTATCTTAGGCCTCGGATAGAGTTCACGCGATTTGATCATCGCGATTCAATCGCCGTGATTTCCATTCATTTTCATTTTACATTCAAAAATGTTGGGCTGGAAAAGTATCACAACCGAAATGCAAGCCGGTCGGCATGCAATGAACTCGTAACAATTGTCTTGTCGCGATTGAATCGCGACGATCAAATCGCGTGAACTCTCCCCGAGGCCTTATGAGTCTGCTAAATCCAAGACAGCTGAACTATAGTCTACTGCATGACGAAGGCGCAATATCTCTGGAAGCGAACGCGGCTTCATTAGCCCAGAGCGCATGGGCAGAAGGGTTTACAGTGGTGAAGATACGCGCGCGCCGCGTCCGCGCCCTCTCAACCAATACTGCTTCTGCGCCTTCGTCCTGCAGTAGCCTTTAGATCGATTTTGATCTGTTTGATTGCTCAGAAAAGAATGAAATATTGTTTGATGGGGCAAAGCAAGCTCACGAGATGGCTTCCACGCATTAGCTCTTGATGAAAATATGGAAACGAAAAACGCTAAAAGTTGCACCGTTCCCACTGCACATTCATATATTGTCCACTTCACGCATCCATTTTTGTGGCTAGGAACCGAAAAAATGATAAACTGTCACTAACTGGAATGTCACTTATCGCAGTCTTCGAATTTTTCTGCCAAATCTGTTATTTCCGAGTTTTGCGCACGTACAAAAGTAGAATTTGTCATTATGATTAATTGTACTATACAGGGTACCCCAAAAGTATGGATCTGTTCAATCTTCATTATCTCCCTTCTCAAGAAGTCTTTGCCTGCCTTTGGTAACATTTTGTGAAGCTGGCTTCAACTTGGTTATACATTATGGAGCGAACCACCGATCCCTTTTCATTACTGTAAGATTACGGTAGGAACTTAGTTTACAGCCTCACTGTAGATTAGTCGCGTTTCAAAAAAGAATTCTAAAATTTCTGTAAAGCTGCGTATCGAGATTTTACACGCGCTGATTTCATTACTCAACTTCTCAGGAGCCCGTAATGCTACTGAATGGTGTAGACACAATTTTAGAGAGCACTGTAAAGACAGCTAACAGCTAATGGTTTACCTGGCGCAAGCTATGGAAGAAGCATTTCCGTGAAATGCAAACTTCATATTTAGTTTTAGCGACTCTACTTAGCCCAGTGTAAGAGTTTTCGGGTTGCTTAGCTTGCTTTTTGAGACGAAATTAGATCCTCAATGTCTCTTAAAAACATTCTTGAAGTTGCTATTGCTACAGTAACCCTACAATAACGGAGAGAGATCGGTGACTCTCTCCATATTGCAAATCTAAGTTGAAGCCAGCTGTACGAAGTGGTACTTGAAGGCAGGCAAAAGACTTTTGGCCAGAAAGATAGTAACGATCAAACAGTGTATACATACTTCTGGGACACCCTGTACAGTTACTGCGTGGAGCAAGCCTAGTAACAATCCCCGTAACAGCCATTTTTTGCTTCTCATCATCTAACTTGACTTTTGCAACTGTATATTATATATGAAAGTCTAATGTGGATAATATGCTTGAGCATTTGTTCGTACGATTTTTCAAGAGATCCAATTCTTGGCTTGTCTAATAATATAAAGAATCGTTAGCTCAATTCAGAAATCTGCAAATAGTGGGAAACCGCGGTGCGGTCCCGAAGTGCGCGGATACAGTCTAGCACCTTTAATTACTGGTACACTAGTTTAACAACTTTTAGGTTTTAGCCCAAAATTTTAGATGAAGTAAACGTTATGAGAAGTCGCCATCTCCTAGAGCTTGCTTCCTTTGCTTCACCAAAAAAGTACTTCAAGTTCTACTCTGAAAGTCAAAAGAATAGGTTTTCTGAGACGGACCTATCTCGGATGTTGAACAGAGTTTACAATCCCGGGGAGAATATTCCGCAAAAAGTGGGACATCTTACATTTAAGAGTCTTACATTTCAGGGATTTAAAGGAGATTATCAGAAGAAAGTCTTCGTTAAAAAATGTTTTTCAATCATAAAATACATTGTGCAAGGTCCTTGCTTAATGTAATATCAGAGGAAGATCTTGACAATCCAATCATATTAATGCTAGAAGCAAGTCAATCCAGCAATAAGATGACTGGAATCAAGTCTACAACATTCTATGATGCCCCTCATCCATACAACATATAAAAATAGTCGTTGATTGGGTTTGAACCAGTTAAATCGAGTTAAATCATACAAACACAGAAAATTAGGTGACGCCCGTGTCGCGCTTTAGTAATCATGCATGGATTCTAACTCTCATATAATGGTGCACCATGACGCAAGAACTACGGAACTACACCAATCCAATTTTCTGAACAGCGAAAAAAACGTACTCATCGTCTCACAAGGGAAGGATATCAATTTAAATTCGCGATTGGAGACAAAATGTACATCACTGGACGCGTCTTCAAACGCTACCAAATTTCTTTTTTTTTTTTCTGAGAGACTTTGAGAAGTTATGAACATCTGAATGTTCATATTTGTCAGTATTTGAACGGCATAGAATTAGCGAAACTTCCACCAGATGTGTCCCTTTCCTTTAGAAGATACTTGACAGAAAATCAATTACCCACTTTCAGTTGTTGTTTTTATAAGTTTTTCGCTAAATTTTTGTCACCTAAGATTTTACTAATTTGGACATTTAAACCCCTAAAAAAGTTGTTCCGCAAAAAACGGAACAGGCTAAAAATCAGCGTTTACAGACGCATCCGGTGATATACATCTCTCCAGTCGCCAGCTCAAGATGGTATTCCTTCCCTACCGGTACCCGTTGTTTTTCGAATATAAGAACCAAATTAACAGCCTCACTAGCAGTAATAATTGGCAAGAACGGATACAATTATGTTCCTTGGTTCGGAATTTTTACAAGCTATCGCTTCATATATGCATATCGAAGCAAGCAGTACAAATAAAAAAAGCTGCACGTCAATGTAGCTTGACATTAACACTTACCTTCCACTATCAATAATTCCACGACTTCTGCAGAAATCCTTGTAGCTCGTTATGCGACGCATGGGTATAGTTGGCATTTGAGGCTAAAGACAGCAACACTTGCTCAGTGACTCTGGGTTGCGAAATGTTTGAAGTTTCTTACAGATCCACGTTTAAGAATGTGCATGACTTGCTTATACTTGTAAGAAATTTTTTTAATTTTTTTGCGAATTCAAGTTCGCTTAAGAAAATTTTTCGGATGCGTGGCTAATGCCTCCATTCAGAGAAAAACTACTTTGTCTCCATCCCCCTTCCCGAACGGAAATCCTGGGACCACCACTGGTGCTTGTGTATTTTGAAGTAACAACAAAACATGCCTTGTTACTTTTCGGTCATGTGTTGTGTTGAACTGATCGTGCGAGACACAAACGTGATGAATTCATTTATTTGAAATCAAAGAGGTCATTGGTGACAAAACTACAACATCAAAAACTGAAAGGATAAAAGCTCATAAAAAACAAAATTGACGATACGGTCAATGAGAATGAGAATATATCAAACAACTATCAATGATAAAACCGTATTTTATGAAGTACCTAATGCCAATTATGATGATATTGGCCTCACACGATCAGAACAATGAACAACAAATAATCTTTACAAAACCTAACAAAAAAATAACTACTCCCGGGATGATAAAAGCGCAAAAAAACTTGATAAGTATGATACCTGCCAAACGCCGGGAGAGCTAAGAAATTTGGATTGCAACAACTGCTCATGAATAAAACACACGAGTTGTATATAGCCGGTTGGGGACAGGCATGTAATCACTCGAGCGCACTTGGTAGCCTCTCTGTCATTCAAGACATGGAAGCGCCAGAGTTGTTGGGAATATCACCACCGTCGATTATATAGTCGCCATTATCGTATACGATCTCTTCCTGCACATATCCTACCGCTTCTTCTTGCACGTATTTTATCGCTGATGCAGGCGCTAGCACCACACGCGGAGGTGGCACCGAGTTTTTGACGTAGTAAACACGCTGTGAGTTCTGAATCAACTAATTCTTACGCAGCGAAAATTACACGGCAGGAACGTTTACTACTGTAGAAAAAACGAAAGCTGCCAGTTAACTGCTAATAAAGAATATGCAATGAGGTTTCTGTTTTGGCTTCAAAAAGGCCGAACCTAATGAAAAACACTATATCACGCAACTAATTTTTTTTTATTATTATTAGTGAACTTACAGAATTAGGTTGACTTCGTCCACCAACAACCAAATTTGACGAGCGGGGCACCGTCCGTGGAATGACCAGGCTTTGTCCATACCTTGAAATAGCATTTCACTGGTCGCACCCATAGAAAGAGATCTCGAGGTTTTGACGCGATTTGACTAACCTATTCACAGGACGAGATATAGAGCGTGTTCCATCGGTGTACACCACGTGTTCCTTAAAATACCCTGTTAGCCAAGAAGAAAGCAACTAATGAAGAAAGAGTCAGGATTACTTTTGCTTCAGATGGTTCATAGTAAACTTCCTCGTACGTTTCAGCAGGTCGCGTTATTTGGCGTCGAACCTAAGTGAGCATGCATAAAGATAAGATACATGGAAGTTACAAAACCAAACTCAATGACAATTAGAATACTAGTAGAAAATAAAAATGAATCATATTGGGCAATGATTAGTTGTTTCGAAGAGATGTGCGGAAGAATGCAAGTGCGCCACTGATTGTCAATAGTCTTACAAGTTCGCAGAACAGCGAACTTGTAAGACTACTGACTTGCTGTAGCGTATGGAATTTTTATTTTATAGAAAAAGTCCCTTATCGGTACAAATACTAACGAGGCCAGGTGCTGCATTTATTGAACCAGAGGTTCCCTTTTCGACGGCCATTCTTTTCATGAAAGGATCTACCGTCTGCTCCAATCCCGTTCGAACAGCTGTGGACTCTACTGCATGAGCAGGTAGGAGCCGAGTCGAAGTAGGCTGATCTGGTTCTCGGCTCTATAAAAACCATCAGAGATTAGAATATACTTCTTGGACATGTACTTACCGCCACTCGAACCAATCTTGCACCAGGAACAGGTTGTTGGCTTCTAGCTCTCATGACTGGTAAATGCCTGTAATATATCAATGCAAAAAGGCGTGTCATGGAGACCTAACCAAAGCTCACGTCGCAGCTGGTTCCTCTCCTTGTGTAATCTGCCTCAGAAACTGTGTTGTGCCATCAGATCGTCGTACCATCAAAAGTTTGCTTCCGCCAGGTCCCGTTGCCCTCTGATGTAACGTAATTATCAAGATACGCATACCGAAAAACATGACTGAAGCATACCGCTGGTGCTGTGGTAGCACGAACTACAGTAGGTCTAGACGTTGGTGGTAACGCACGAGAGATGGTGCGCGCAGGATACGCACCTCTAGAGTCCTCATATCTAAAAGCAAAACGAAAAAAGATCAACTGTTGGCCATATTTACCGGAACTGCTTCAAGATGACGGGATATGGATACCTGGGTAAAGCAGATGAAGGTGAGTTCTGCATTCTCTCGTTTCCAACCGATGGACTGGCTACTGCCTGTCTTGTTGTTTCGCTTTGGTCTGTGGTTACGATAGTCTCCTCTGCTCCCAGCGGTACGACACTCTCCTCCAGCAAACCCGCAGGTTGCATGCCGTCCCCAACCGGCTATAACATGCTGATTAGTCAAGGTCCATATATTTCAATGCTTTACATTAGAAATACCGTTACGTAAACAAAACGACAGAGAAACCATCTATTGCAATACTATAACAAAAAGAACTCGAAAGACCTCTACAAATCAAACTGATAAAGGTTTTGAAAAAGTCAAAAATGCAACAGACAGTACGTCTGCATTTGAAAGGTTGATGGACGTTGTACCCGGAATAATCAATATCACGCGGTGTATGGCAAGCTGCCAAGTATTGGCGATGGGGCGCATAGTGTACTGTGTCACGCTCAATGATTGCGTTGGAAATTCAACGAATAAATGCACTCCATGCATGATCGAACTTTATATGACTGATTTAATTGAGTCCAAGTCCAGGCCAAGAATTTTTCATTCTATCTGTATCATTCTACATAGGTTGTACTCTCAGCAAAATCAATAGAAAGTATAGTGAAATCTTCAAAATCGCTCAAAGGTGCTGTCGAGCAGGATTGAACCTCTGAGATCTCAACACTATAAGCCTTTTTCGATATTTTCATGCCAAAGCCCGCACTCGAATTCAGTGCGACGGTAAGCTTAAACAAGGAAGAGGAACTTTAGTTCTGTTTAGACAAGAGTTTCAAGTGTTTTTACGGCAACTGTGGAAAGAAAACAGAAGAGCCTGTTTAGATTATATAGATTCTAGATTGCTTAGGAAGACATGAGCAGCCCAAAAAATAATCACCTGCTGCGCCACTCTGCCTCCTCCTCGCAATATGCCGACTTGGTACTGCCGGCCAGGAATGACACGAGATGTTGGAGTTATGGTTTGAAGCAAACGAGAAGAGTCCATCCCTGATGATGGTCTAGGCCGCTTTGCAGCTCGTGGCTCCCAGCCAGTCAGCTCAGATTCATCCTCCGCGTTATCACGATCATTCGGATCCGGCGAATAGTACTCATAATCCTACAGGGAACTTAGGTTAGGAATTTACAGTGGAATGTATGACGATACACTTACGCTGATTCGCACTGGTTTCCTTTTCCTTTCAGGCACTACCATTGGGGCATGACGCAGCTCGTTACGAGGCGTACTAGAGAACCGCACTGGTTGAGGAATGGGCTGTCGGATGGACCGATCTTGTGCGGAAGTGGTTCTCCTCACGTTCGCAGTGAGCGGTGACGGAGTAGAACGATCACGAGTTTCTACAAATATTGCTACTACCGAAACAGTTACATGGTTATCAATACCCACGTGTTTTGATCGTGGGACGTGCAGGCTGAACTCTTTGCATTGCGGCTGCTTGTTTTTTTCTCTTTTCCGCCTCCTGTTTTTCATTGTACCCTTTCCAGTAGTCGCTAAAAGGAAAAACGAACATGTGTGTATAGAAGTTAGAAAGCGAAAAAACTACGAGATTCGCACTAACTATATCTCATGCAACTTGAGGTCAACGCCGTCGACCCACTCCTCCTTCAGATGACTAACTCGCTGTACAGACGAATGGGCGGGTCTCTTTCTTCTTGTGCCTATAGTTACAATCTTGAAGTTATCAATAGAGAGGAGTTACTTCAAAACCCACTCTTCCTTCTTTCCGCACGTTCTCCACTTGTCCAGGATAAGTCGTCCTCTTCCTCAATCTCTTTGTCATCATCTAGCGGCAGCACTTCTATGGATATGCGGTACCTATACAAATTGTTATCCATAAACAGCAGACCCCATCAGATCATTTGATCTACAGCAAATGCGTACCGCTCATAGATACACGGTGGTGCATATTCCTTATGTGATGTTATCCACCTCCGTTCGTCGCGATCCGGGAAATGGCTCACAATGCGCCTATCAGGATCCTGCAGAAACAAAAAAGCGGATGTAACATGGCCTTCAAGCGAGACCTACATCATCTTCCGGTTTCATGTCTTGCCATCGTACAGAAGCCCAAAGTATTCGTAATTGGAGAGCTACAGCTTGAAGAGAAGCACAATTTGCAGTTAACCATCTGTAATGATACTTTTGGTATTAGGAATGGACAATTTCAAAGTTACCTCCAGCACAGGTCAAAACAGGGCCTTGAGGTGGGATAGTTCCAGTACTGCAAGTTTCCCTTAGCGGTGGCAGAAAAACTCGGCACGTAAATCGCTCTTCGGCCACCAGTTTTTGCTAATCGTCGAAGAGTACTAAAAATTTGAGATAGCTGATGTACGGTGCCCAAGCGGAAGCAGACCAACTTTCGACAACTACTCAGAACTGTTCAAAACATACACTTGTGGTATGACAAAAATGCTGGTTCGTTTCGATCCTCTCGCCACAAAATCATTCACTTCCGGTAGAGGCCAAGGCAGATCCTCTCCCAAAACGCCCTTACGAACTTCTCGAATTTTGGTAGGATCGAAAGCTTTCACAACAGCTGAGGTGCTTGTTGAAGGATCTAAAGTGGTCACTGTATCAAGTTATAATAAAATCATTGCTGATTTGTATCTAACCCTAATGAAAACTTCTACCATGCAAAAAGATCAAGGAACATGATCAAAGCACAAAATTTGAGTGCTGGAAAAATCGAGACACATAAACTCACTTGAGGAAGCAAAACATGGATTTAGATCCAGCAAACCGTCCACATCCAACTCCTTTTGTCGACATTCTTGCGAATAACACGACTGATAGCCAGCGCTCGCATCATTGGAACAGACCGATCTGTATATGCGTGAGATGAAATAAAATTATGACATCTCACAGGGCTGGCAACTGACATACCTAGAAGGAATGCCCATGCGGCAGCTGGGCGAATAGCAAACGCAGTTTTGCTTCTTTTTTGTTGCCTCCTGCTGTAATCTCCACTGCATTAACTTCGATGCCACAATGTCCACAGAAGATGCCTCTTGATCTGTCTGAATTTCGAAAGCTATACGAAAAGCACCTAGTGAGTAAATCATACTTTGTCTTGCCGTTGTTTTCCAATGACAAAAGAAGGTGGATCATCAAGGATCTTCCTGACGAGCGTGCGTGAAATCCACATCCACCCACCTAACACCCCTTTGCCATACAGACGATATTTTTCGTCCTAAAAAAGGCGTATGCGGGATAGATCAGGAATATCAAAATCGTTCATACCCGCATTCTAGTCAGTTCTCTGCTGACACCATGAGGTAGTTTCGAATGCTTCACAATGATTATATCTTCATCTTCTACATCTATTGCCTCCTGAATGTACACGTCACATGTCAGTACGTACAATTAAGGCAATCAAGCTCACTCTTTCTTCCTTTTTCCGTCTCTGGGCTTCTCTCATCATGCGATCTCTGTCCTCGACCGTGGTCCGAGTAAGCCTGGTGTGACCTAGACTGTTCCACCACTGCGGTAAAAAAAGAGTGCGTCTCATCCCACATTCCAGTCGAAGAAGTAGATCTCGCAATTTTTTCCAAGACGTATTAGGCTGATCAAGTTCCTGCACAAAGAAGACTTTTTGGTGATTTTGGTATATGAACAAAAGAAGAAAGGAACCTTTTTGAATTCGGTATATGCAGAGGGCCATTTACGCTGCATCAACTCTACAGGAACTTTCCTCAAAAGCTTGCCAATGGTCCACGCAACATACAAAGTTTGCAGTTTTTCACTCCCATATAGATTATGGCCTTTCGCTGTCGACCACTGTAACAAATAAGGCTTGAAGTGTGTTATTAAAGGAGCAAGAGGTTGAATGTTTTGTGAGCCAGATCAGTTTAGGGCTAAACTGTGTCAGTGATTTGTGATGCATGTAAACACCTTCAAAAAATACAGTTTTAGCTAGGAAAGGAAATGCCTAAACAATGCGGAACGGAATAAGTAAGCAGTGTTTCCCTGTAAAGTTACATGAATACACGTAAAAATACATAAATGTGAAACTAGGTGGCCTTTTCTTGACTTCTAGCTACATGTTTTACACTCTTAGGCCTCGGTAATTCACGCGATTTGATCGTCGCGATTCAATCGCGACAAGACAACAACTGTTACGAGCTCATTGCATGCCGACCAGCTTGCATTTCGGTTGTGATACTTTTCCAGCCCGAAATTTTTGAATGTGAAATGAAAATGAATGAAAATCGCGGCGATTGAATCGCGACGATAAAATCGCGTGAACTCTGTCCGAGGCCTTACACAGACAGAAGACAGTGGGAGACATGCACAGCAATACTGATCGGTCTTGAAACTAAATCTATAAAAAGAAAATAAAAATGCAAAAAAAGAAGAGGGAAAAAGAGACAACGTTACTTCAAATGCCCATTCTCCTTCTTCTATCAGTGAAAACTTGGTGCAAAGGTACTTCTTTTTGTCAGCAACTTTCCTTCTGGTAACGGGATGTTCGCCGAATTTGTGTTCAACAAACAGATTGCTATACTTGCTGAAAAAGTTGAAAGATGCTCCCACTGCGCCCACGAACAAAACTCTTTCTCAAATGTTCAAACCTGTATGAGTTATCATCACTTGGATTTCCCATGCGGAACAACTTGCTTGGATCGGGACGTAAACTTTTATCTGTATCCCGCGTTGTTTTGAGCTGTAGCAGCTCCTTTTCTAAATTACAGTGTCCATAATCTTGCGAATGTGAAAGCTACGTGTGTGGCTATTCATTCTGTCACTCAAAACTCGAAGGTGAAAATCCATATTTTCATTTCTTAAAGAGGAAAACAACTAAGTAACTGTGTTAGCAATGAAATACAGGTACTGCGTTGTACAAAAACATAACCACTCCAAGATTATCCATGCACTACCTGGCATGGATATGGACGCCACTACTTTTTTCAAGGATCGTGTCGCGTTATTTATTAGGTCGTTCCGAAAGTAATGTCGCCTTTTTCAAACGTACGCCACATTTCGTGGAACAAAGTTATGTAAGAGAATCTGGTAGCATTTAATGCAGTATTTCATTCTCTTTCTAATGGTTATATAACTACGGCACAAAATTGAGTAACCTCTGCGAAAATCATCGGAATCTGCGATCCATGCTTTTTGAGAAGGTCAAATTTCACCATTTTTCCGAATTTTTATAACAACCCCCGGAAGGAGTTCAAGTTATGTATGGATAGAGCAAACCCTACGGGAAACAGCAAAACTTTTTTTAACTTTTCAGAGCTCGTCATAATTTCTGTATAGATTTTTTTGATGGAACCACCGAATTTTAGCAGGCTCGTCTCAGACACAAATGCATCAAACACCAAGAAATCGTCGGATTTTGAAACTCACAAAAATGGATTATGGTTTTGCACTAATTTTACAAAGCAAATGAGCGTTTACCGCTTCAGATTAGCAACTTTCGAAAATTCCGTGTACAGCCGGAGGCGCCCTGGAAAACCTGATTATGATGATTTTATCTCGGAAAACTTGATGAATCGGAAACCAAAAACAACTGGTAAAAAGAGGAGAAAAAGCTGCGTCGAATGACACCCGAGTTGCTTGCGGGTTGTTGTTCTGTGGGGTTTGAGTTGACCAAACATGGAATTTGATGGCATTTTAAACCTGATTCCAGAAACTCTAAGAAGCAAGTTAAGGAAAAGAAAAAAATTACTCTGTGTCCTATAGGATTTGCTCTATCTACCTGCTATTTGTACTTCTTCGGAGAATAGGTACAAAAATTTTAAAAAATTGCCGAACTTAACCATGGCAAAAAGCATGAGTTGCAGATTTTGTTAATTTTTCAAAAGCTCAATGAAAATCATGCAGTGAAGTTACAACCTTTAGAAAGAGGATGAAATGCTGCATCGAATGCTCTTAAAATCTCTTAGAAATCTTGATTCCATGAAATGTGGCGTTCATTTGAAAAAAGCGACATTACTTTTGAAACGACCTAATATAAACAGTTTATCACATATGAGATGAGCAATAAAATGACTCACTGCATTGGAATGCATACATTGAATTCAAATTTACCTAGGACAGCTAGGAAAAAAGCACCCACCTTCCACATTTCCGCTCCAGAAATTATTGATGAGATGTCCTTTGGACAAGCCCAGCATTGTTTTAAAGCATCCGTCAAGGGTTTCAAAAGGCTTCTGCAAACAAACATAATAAAAGATACAGCGAATCGCAACTGTACCTACCTGGTCTTCTTCGTCATTGTCCTCAGTTTTTATATCGGAGTCCTTGTCGTATGGTTCCTGCTTCACAAGCGCACCCTCCGCTACCAATATATCACCCATGACAATCACTCAAACGTATACCATAAAATTTGAGAAATAAAGAACAAAAAACGTACTGTTGTCTTGTTGTAGAAAAACTTCTGCTGGCAGTGGCTTATTGCTGTTGTAATTTTCACGGTACAGAGTGTCTCTACGGTCTGATGATAATTCCAAAGTAACGGACATCTACAATACGATGATCAGCGCATAGGTTACAACAAGCTATACTTTGCTTACCTGCTCTAAGATGTCGCTGAGTTTCTCATAAAAGAAACTACACAGATCAAATTCAAAAAATGTCGGATCCATCCTTTTGACAAGCTGGTAGAACTGCGGCGCTGTTGAGTAGTATCGCAGATCAGACTCATCCATGTTATGCCTTCAAAACCGTTGTAATCATTTTCATACCAATGAAAACTGTCGCAAATTTTCAACTAACAGTTTTTGCATATCAAAAAACAATGAATACATTGCTTAAAGAGGCTTAAAGTGAATGCATAAATCTCTTAACTTTCACTGAGTAAGAAACACTCACACAAAAATCCTCCTCGCAACAAACCAATAAAATCTGCCGTGTCGATCTCGTCCAACGGGTTCCATTCGCAAAGGTTGTTTCGTAGCGCATTCATTGAAAGGTAGGCAGTCCTGGACTCCCCTCACCTGTTGGAAAAAACGAGAATGGAAAATAGCAGAAATGGTATGTTTACCTGCACGAGAGCAAGAATGACCACAACCAATATTATTCGAGTGAAAGACCCTTACCTTGCTCTTTTCACAAAAGTCGCAAGTCCATTCTGTCGGAGTAGTCTCTAAGTCGACACATGCCGCGTGAAAAGCAGCTTCACAAGAGATACATTGCAAAAGGTCGCCACCCTTACAGCACGAACGGCAAGTCTCGTCATGCTAGAAAGAAGCACGAAAGTTGCTAATATGAGATTTGAAGCCTAGTTCTGAAAGTTCAAAGACTGACCTCTAACTTCCCATTCAAAGCCACCACATCTTTTTTATACTCGGTCGAATAAAGAAAGCGATAACTAAGGAATGTAATAAGAACTAATCGTGCAGCAAATCCAACAAAAGGATAATTTGGAGCATTTACTGCTTCCATCACTTCTTCAGGGACATTAACATCACTTGAAAGGTACTGTCGAAGGACCTGAAATTTCTAAATAGCATCACAAGAAGTCTTCTCTGAAATCTAAGCTAAATTATCGAAAAAAAAAACAAATTGCGAGCCAAAATTTTATAAAAGTTTTCAAAAGCATGGTGATCTCTCCTACAATAGGGGAATAGGGGACGATTGCATGATTTTTCGTGTAAATCAAACGCAATACGTACAAAACATGCAGTAGACATGACAACAGGAATAAACCATGTTTATGTAGAGAAAAAAAACTCACCTCAGCATAAGTCATAGGTTCTAAACAGGCTGTGATTATATTATACGCATTGTTGGTTTCGTTACCAGAATAGTGAACCTGAACATTAATATTCAGAGGGGCACAAGAGTAATAGGAAACATCTGATGCTTACCTGCTCTTCATCATCATTTTTGAAACACATCCTAATGAGGACGATATGAATTTCTGCTAACAAGCAGGAGTTATCCGGCGATAATAACGCCGCACAAAAATCTTCAAATAGAAAGGGTGTCAACCGCAACGTGCGCCAATAACTGCGCAAAAGTTCATAAAGCTAAAATACAAACAAATATTAAGGGGAACTATTAGAGTCACTTTGGACATACCTCAACAGTGTCCAATAAATATTCTTGAGGTATGGGAATATCCTGACTGCTTTCTGGAAGATCAAGTGGTGGTATATCTGCCTTTGGCAATTCCACCCAAGGTAGTCGAGAGCACTCGCTCTGAAATAACTTTCAAAAAAAAACAGACACGGATAAGCTCAAAGTTTGATAACATCTTCATAAAATCAATTTGTTCTGAGACACCAGAAGATGAGACTTACAAGATCTTCCTCGAGAGTATGGGTCGAATCATCGTTAACAAGGCTGTCATCGTCAAGCTCATCCTCAAGGAACTCCACACGAGAGTCTGAACATGGACAGAACCTCATAGTACCATCCTTCCTCAAAACTTACTTGAAGCTTTGAACGAATACTCTTCTTCGCTAGATGATGACTCGGATTCAGAGCAAGAAACATAGTCATAGTGCTGTTCATCACCATCATCGTACTCCCACGGTTTCGAGTGTTTGCTTCTAGTGGATTTTCCTCTAGACTGCCTGCATACGCGAATGTTACGAGTGTATGCGACCGTTACAAGAGCTTTTGACAAAACGGAAAGCAGGCATTATTCAAAATTGTGCAAGATTTCCAAGGTGACGAGTTCGTGAGTGTGGTGATAGAATTTCCATCCACCAGGTGAGATAAGTCATGCTCGCATGGGAGAAAGTGTTTAGAGCTGAAATCTGCTTTAACCCGTTGACGACGAGCCATTTTCGCCCACATCGAAATGGACTAGATATTGAAATCTGCGGTTTAGCCTCCTGAGCGGCTACCGCGATTCCCAGTGTTCTGTGTGACAATCAGACCATGAGTACTATTACCGCATAAAAGTTAGTTTAGAACCTTTCGTTTACACATAAAAACGAGAGTTAGGGGTGCATACGCGCTATGCACACGGTCGTCAACGTGTTAAACAAAAGAATTTTGCAAAAGAAATGCAGAGTCAGCAACTTTTGCAAAACACTCGAATCACAAGATACACAGGTTCTTTCACCAATAACCTTAGAAAGATCACCAAGTACATGTAAATGACCAGAATTTGAACATTCAACGCACCTCGCTTTTGATTCCACCTGAGATTTGTTCGCGGAAGAACTCTTCGTTTTTGACGCCGCCGGTCTGCCTCGCTTCTTTGCTTGGCTTTTTCTCGTACTCCTCGGAGGCTCAGGAGTTGCGCTGCGCTCACGCTGCGATACGGCTTTCCTACGTAAGCTGATGCGTAATGAAGGGGCGCGCTCTGTCACGGGAAGAACAGCTCCGGGCATGTTCGACGCAGGATGCAAAACCTAAAAGACAAGATTAGTATCAAATAACTTAAAAAATTTCAACGATGAAAGCCTTGACGAGTTATTGACACAATTCTCACCAGATGTAGTCATCCTCTGAATAAACCAAGATAAAAGCTTCAACTTAAGTTCCGTTAGGTTTTGTGGGATTGTTGACAACGACTGTTCTCTCCAACTACTCTTTTAACAACTTTCAACGAAAGAAAATTTTAACTATGGAGCGCTAAATTGTCGGTGGAGCACAGCGATCTCGGAAAAATGATTTGATTTGCAGCACGGATTCTACATGCTGAGTGGTCAAGTCCCATACATGCCCGCTCTACCTTTACCACTCTGTCGCAGGATCCCCGTTTTGTCATGGTCCCCCGGCAGATGCGCTGACTTGCTTGGAGAGCACATTAGTCCTGGCAAGACTGAGTTTGTATGGCAAGGATAATGGAGGTTTTCAGAAATGTCCTCAGTAACGTTTTTTTACAGAAACCCTCAAAAAGATGACAACGAGGAAGTCGAGCTGGAAAAGCCGGCCGCCTCCGTTTCGCAACGATGGCGCGGCGCTGACCCGCACGCCTCTCTCACCGCCTGCACTCTCTCGCTCACAGAATTCGAAAATCACCATTTTTCCACAAATCGCCCCTAATTTCCGAAAAAACCAAAAAATGACCACCCCCACCGCCATTACGTCATGTAAGCGTGACGTCACCAAAAGTGCTACTGTATTGCACCTGAGGGCCTCGTTCTTCGAATGGCAATCATCACCGTAAGCGCTTCCATCTCGGACCAGCATCGGCAGAAATGCCGCGAAGACTCAACGTTTGAAGATTTTCTACGCAGCACGATCACCAGGTTTGGAATTTTGTTCCGTAGGTAATGTTACTATTTTGTGCTTTATTATCAGTTAGATAGCTCAAAATAGATGATCCACGTAGTCACTGCCGAGATTATCTTCTTTGAACTGAAGTTTTCGAAAAATTATTTCCTTTTCACAGTGGGGAGTGCACATATCTTTCAAGGTGTATATAGAGTCACAACTGTGTAACTGTTGGAGTTATTCATATCATTCTTTTCAGCAAGATGAATCGGTCTATGGCATCGGTGTTGGACGAAGAAGTGTCTTATGAAGAGCTTTTTTCACTTTTTGACAATGCCCAGGAATATTTCACAGTATGTCTGTTCTCCTCTTCAATCTGGCTATTATGCATCAAAAGTTGTTAATTTCTCTTATTTACGACATCTAACTCTTTCGCTTGTCCCATTTTCTGGATAATGGTTATTTCTTATACACTTTACATTTACCCTAAATCACGAGTACAAGACGCGGCTTTCTCGATTTTTCGAGCAAGCCGCTAAGCCGCTTGAGTTTCGGAAAACGAAACTTATGCCGCACAACACTCTCAGGCAATGCGCAGCTATAGGGTCCTTTGGTCGCGAAATGTTTCGGTGTGTTCAGGCTGGTCGAATTTAGAAAAAAACACGTGCTCGTGGAATCAGCGTAGATATGCTTGACATCGTTTTTATTTGTCAAACCACGACCCGTATGTAGTTGTACTGACGTGTTATGGCTGAAGGTGCACCAATACGTGCGTGCAGAATTGTGCCTTCTATTATTTTTGAAGGTGCTGTTTACAAAGATGCTAGTGGCTTTGTTGCAGTTATCTACATTGCCGATTCTAATCATAGCTAAAAGTCCACATTACCTTCTGTCAAGAACCAGGGTCTAACACAGAAATGTCATGTCTGTGTTATGGTTTAACAATGTGCGAAAGTACGACACTACGTCTTCAAGAAACGTTGCATTTGTCAAAAAAAAAAGATCAGTCGCAAACTCTATAGTCATCTTGTTATCGTTGTACTCAAAGACACTCGCAAGTAATAAGTTCTCGTTCGTACTGATCTCGAAGTTTGAGAAGTTCATTCGAGCGCTGTGGTGGAACTGTTCCCGAATTTCGGGAACAGTTCCAGCACAGCGCTCGAATGAACTTCTCAAACTTCGAGATCAGTAGCCTAACTCTCTGGATTGAATTACGAGGATGTGCAGCACTCGAATTCACAAGACTAGCAAGTTGTGTTGTGCTTTTTCATAAGATGGTTGTTCATTGCAGTACATGTCCCAAAACAACGTATCGAACGTATGATTTACAGTAACTCTCATAGAGATGCTTTTGCGGTTATTTGAACTCTAGGTTGTAGAGCTGGCTTTGTCTTGTAGTAACAATAGCAAAAGGTCACATCGATTCTTATCACTGTGAGACTACGAGGAAGTTTCAAAAGATTTGCGCTATTGAGGTGGTGAGAGTTTGCTGCTAAATAAATTGGGAACGATTCTATTAGTTGTTAGTAGTAATAGTAATAGTTACGAAGTTGCACTTTGACCTTTCTTTCAAAAGTTACGCCGATCTTCGGAGGATATTCCAGAAAATTGTCAAAAACCTGATGAAGTCATCTGAGCTGCTACACCCATACAAACTTATTTATTATGTTATGTAATCAACGGGTCTGGGAACCGCATCAAAAATTTTCAGTATTTTGAGAATTTTGCAGTTAGACACCACTGTGCTAAAAGTTTTTGTAGTACCTGATAAGGCAAGCTAACTGAGGCCAGCTCTGCACAATAGTTTTTTAATGACAGCAGAGGCTTTCCATAAACGAAGTTAATCAAGATCATACGCTCGATACATTTCGTGAGACACCCTGTTTAGGAAGAACTAGAGTTGTTTTCAAAAGGCGCTTACACCTTTGTCCCCAATATAGCATCCGGATGATTTTAGGTTCTTAAAAAGTTCTACATATAAAGTTCGGGCTATTTTTCTATTTCTAAATTTATCCGAAGTGGCTGTCAACGATATTTGGTCATGCATGACAATCTAGCCTACTGGTTAGATATATCACGGATGCTGCCTTCAAGGAAGAGCACCGGATGTTCCAAGATACGGGGGCGGACCACGATTTCTAGGACGCTAAGATGAAAAAATGTTCTTTGCTAAAAAAATTCAGGTATTGGAGCAAGTAGATGGTTGTCGCTAAATTTGACGATCACGAAGGGTATTGGTACAGATTAATACGTTGACGACAACGTGTATTTTCAGTTGTCTGCCCCGTGGGACAATGCCTTCCACGGATAAGTCAAAATTTTGGAGCTAAAATCATGCAGAGTTGATTACACTACACCTACAGTAATTCCATGATGCATGCGAGAAACGCAAAAGCATTTTCTATGGTCAGAGCATAAGAGAACCTCTGAAACGAATGTATTCCAAGATAGCAGTCATTTTAACAAATTCAAGCCATGACCCACCATGTGGGTCACATTGTCCCACGTGGCAGTCATTGCATGACCCACCACATGGGTCAGTTGTCGTCAATGTGTTAACAACCGAGCTTCTACAAATTGTGCTTCTCTAAAATCAAAATGTGCCTTTTTCATCCCTCGAGGCAATGGATTATTGTCTTTTGAACTATTATTATTGTATGGCTTCTGTCAAAACTCAAGCTGATTAGCGTATTTGATAGCTGTTACCGGCGCTGAAAAGACATTCCAAACCAGCGCCATTGCTTCGCTTTCAAAATTTGGCTTTGAGAGAAGAATGGGCAGAACAACTCAATAGTTCTGCTCATTTTTAATGATATCATCTGTGCTTTATAGAGCGTTTAAAACACATTCACTTTGTAGGCTTCAAATGCAACACAGCCACTCGGCTCAAGTTACTACTCAATCTTATTTCAAATATATACTCAAATATAATGTACAGTCGAGTAGATTTAGCGGTAAATATAGTGTGCTTGCACAGAAGGTGAAATGCGGTAAAATTTGCGCGTGAAGAAATAGCTTCGACTGTGACGCCGGTCAATCGCGCGCGCAAGATGCCCGCAGTACTGGCGTGGCTACTGGTTCACGCGCAAATTTCACCGCATTTCTCCTTCTGAGCAAGCACACTATATTTACCGCTAAATCTACTCGACTGTAAATGGGGATAATCGATTGCACAAAAGTGCACATGACAAGTTTATTGATAAAGTATTCACTGGAAGGTTTATGGCGACAGGCTTTCTCTTTTGTTTTATAATCCCTGCGATATCAGCGGGTCGAACTCTTGAGGAGTACTCGATTATGTATTGCAATGACGTTACACAACTGCGTGAAGAATACGTTGCTAAAGTGAACACTCTCGAAACTTACGCAGAGAACTGAGACCTCATGGCTACTGCCACTGCCTGTCTAGTCCTTTTTGTACACTGATCTAATTTCTACTGTTTACTTCGTTGATCCGTTTCATATGCGCACAGGAGAACCGATGCTTTTGTTGGAAACTTTTATTATTGCTCAACATTCTGTTTTATGGTGCCCAAGATGGAACTTTCAATAACTCTCTGGCAAAGGCCAACGAACTCAAAACGGAGATTAAAAAGGCAGGAACTCGTAATGGTCAACTCGTGGAAAGTGAGTAGAAGTGAGCCTGTTGCTGTGTTTCTCTGTGCTACAAATGCTGATATACTACTCTTTCAGAATATGCATCTTATCTACGCGATGTGAACAAAGATCTGTCAAATACCATCGTAACGAACGAAGCTTTGAAAACAAAGATCAACTATAGCGAAAAGATGTATGCTGAACTCGGAGATGTGTTAGCTGATCTCGACAATGCTTATAAAGGTAACGGAAACTCTTCAGGTTCCTGCAATTCCCATCACTTTCAAGTATGCTCTGAAAATGCTAATCAATTAGGAAAGATCGGCAAAATGGACCCTTCTCGGAGTTTGGTGAATTTAGGTAGTAGTCCCTCCAAGTACTGTAGCCCAATCCCCACCTGGAAGTTCTTGCGCTAAGTTCTGAATAATGCGCTTCAAAACTCCGCCAGCCCCGCCCACTCAATGCGAATTGACGGGGTTGCTGGAGTTTTGAAGCGCATTTTTGAGGACTTAGCGCATGAATTGGGAGTTGGAGTTTGGGCTACAGTGTACTTGAGGGCTCTGCTACCTAAATCCACCAAACTTCGAGAAAGGTCCATTCTGCTGGTCCACTGCTTTTGAGATGAACATCGACAAAATGTAAGGAAGAAAAATCACAGTGCAAGACAAATAAAGCACTATCCCATTACAGAAAAAAAAGTAACTGAAGTGGCGTCTGGCATTGCTTCATGTTTATGGTCACTTCGATCAACTATTGGCTAGTTGCTTATAATTAGTCTGCTTCTGCCACCATTCAGTAATCTTACTCTGTCTATATCGTTCATGGGAACAAATTTCAAGCCTTAACTGAACTTTATAGGCAAGGCCATAATCTTGCAGAACTCTAGAGTATGTTGACTTCGCTACACAAGTCGTATGTGGTAGACCCTGTAGATGTAAGTAACAGGCAGAAGAAGGAGCGTCAGAAGTTTTCGGTTAGGCTAAGAATGAGGAGTAAAATAATAGTTATAGATTACTCCGAGATGAAAAATTGGTAGAACCCAAGGAACCATTTGGAATTCTATTACAAGCAACTTTTTTGTAAAGATTTTTCTTGCATTTTTTGATGAACTTTACACGTTTAGGGTTTTTGGAAAGACAATTTGGAAGCTACAAAGTGCGAAGGCAGGCAACTTACTTGACGCACTGTAGAGGGTGTCCCAAAAGTAGATACACACTTTGCTCCTTGATATCTTTCTTTTCACAAAATCATTTGCCGGCCTTTGGGTACGGGTGAGTAGAACGGCATTTATTTGGAATTATAGTATGGACAGTTTCAATTGCTCTTCATTACTGTAGATTACGGTAGGAACTTTGAAGAGGGTTTGGGCCATTGAGAGGACATACGCGACTCTTAAGGATACCAAGCAATCACTTTTACGTTGAAGTAGACAGAGTCACTGACTCCTAACATGGAATTCACACTCCGTAATGCTTCTTTCGTAAGTCATGTTAGGTATATATACAGAAATAACGGTTTTTAATATTCCTTGAAGTGTATCAGCATGTGCGCAAACAACTATTACACAACTCATTAAACTTCCTATTTCACCATGGCGCCGCAGTTCTGGAAGTTCCTGTCGTAATCCTTCAGTAACTGTAATTCTATGTTGAAGCCAGCTCTACAGAATGATATAGAGGTCAGCAAAAGATCTTGCGGGAAAGAGAAGTAACGATCAAATCGCGTACTTTTGGAACTCCCTGTACTACGAAAAGCTGCAGAGAGTATATCATCTATATTGTCCATTCAGCCGTTGGATAGAGCAGCTCCACTATCGGCAATTTTTTCTCTTCATGCAATTTGATCCAGTATCTCAACTGTAATGTCTGACAGTCTTTTGTTATATGAATTGTGGAGGATGTAATTGGTAATCACTTCTGTTCTAGATCATTCTCCTTTCATTTGCATGAAGTCTGCTCTTACTCCAGTAAGGTGCCTATAGTACCTTATGGGCGGCAAGCGTTAGGCGAAAAAATGTGCAAAACGCAAGCAACGTAAGGATGCGTTCGTACTTATTCTAAAGTTCGGGACAGTTTCAGCACTGCGCTCGAACTGAGCGCTGTGCTAGAACTGTTTCTGGATCTCTGGATCAGTATGAACGCAGCCTAAAGCGCTTGAATCACAACTATGCGCTTTTTTTTCACTGGCGTCAAGTTATGTATCGGCACCGACCCTCACCCCTCCCTGTTTTTGCCATAAAAGGCGTTTTGCACGGATAGTTTCTTAAACTCCAAAAATGATTTGCCGCTTAACGTCCTACATCCTCGTGACGTATTCACCGGGTTACGTATCCTTGCAGGCTTTTGCGTTTTGCCGTCCCGGGCAATAGCATGCTAGCCGATACAAGCCGATACATTGCACAACTCTAGCGTTATCTCACATGTGCTCCGAGATGCCAACTTTCAAGCTTTATCTCTTTGTTCTTAAAGGGCCGGGTATACTTCACGCGATTTCAGTCGCGACGCGATTTGGCAATATTCCAACTGTCCATAACTCACTGTAAGCACATTTTTAATGTAGAGAAGATAGGGCATTTTATCAATCTACGTATGTTAAACACAATATTCATGTGCAGGTTGTTAGTGTTAGATCTGAGGACTTCTGGCGAATTGCCAAATCGCGTCGCGACTGAAATCGCGTGAAGTATGCCCGGCCCTTAATGCGTCATTCCGACCTGGGGCGGGTTGAGGCGGGTTCGGCGGGTACTGGCGGGTACAAGCGGGTTGCAGTTCGAAGCCTGCCTCGGGCCCCAAAAATCAGTTTCCACTTGCGATCTCCATGTGTTCAGGTTTGCCTGGACGCTGCTTCTGAACCCTTTTCACACTTTCTCCGCTTGCTTTGCTTATTCTCAAAAACAACATCTCTTAATAGAAGTGTATGGTTCACTTGTACCCAACCTATTGAGTGAGATCTGGTTCATATGTTGCGTATAATTACCAAGCTTCAGCTGATATCTTTGCTGTGATATATTCGCCGACGCGGCGCATAGACCTCGATTATGCTCAAACATCTCGAAAACTTGCTTTCGTGTTTTACTAGAGGATAATTTCTGGTTAAATTTGGCTCCAGTTCAGCTTCGTTGTATTCTTATTAGCTCACAGAAACCACAATCCTGAATCGGAGTGTGGCTTCTCTGGGCTAATAGGAACACAGCGTATCAAGCATTATCCAGAAGATGGTACCGATTTGTGCAGTGTTAGCAAGTTACAGATGACAATAGCATCAAAAACGTTACAGATTTTTTTTTGCAGTAAGATGCTGTTGCATCAGCTCATCACATAAACTGTGTAACTGTACAGGTATATAAACAACAAAAAAGTGCTGAATTTAGCACAGAACCTTTTAACGTAAGATTTGCCGATATAAGGAGCAAATTTGATTTTTTTGAATTCGTTTTGGATTATGTATGGAATGCTATCTGTAACATTGTATTTTGTAGAATTGCGCATACAGTTGAGCGAAGCCCTGAGTGAAAATTTGGAAGCTGAAAGTGACAGATCGGAAAGTCTAGTCAATTTGTCGGACAGAAATCAAAGAAGGTGCGTTTTAGAATTTTCAGCGAAGCTTTTTACTTACCCAGCAGCAATGTTGACATCTTAGAATCCAAGACAAGCTGTCGATCAACTGGGAAAGTCCGTGCTTGTCGACTAGGTCGCTGAGTAATGGTAAGGCTTGATTCGTTAATAACTGTATCCCTTCTAAAATTTATCGTATTAGTTGTCTGTGTCTGCTTGAAAATGATGATTTTCCAGATGAGGGCTACAGCGACGATGCTTCGGAGTAGATATTCACGTATATGTATCTCTGTACATAAACCGGTAACAAATGCTTTGCACAACAAAGAGTATGCAAGTAAATCTGGCTCAATATAACAAGCACTAGACGCGTCTGCATACGAACTTCACGAACTTTTAGTTGGTCTTCACAAGTGCCTACATCTTGCGTTGAATTGATTAAGGGCCGCATGCACTAACCTCTCCGCTGGGGAGGGGATTGCAGCTCAAAAGAAAGCTTCATATTCTGAAGCTCCAGATATCTGGATTTCACGTTGTGTACCTATCCGTAAGTATCCCTACTACCCTTCACTATGAACTTGTTGAAGAGGAGCGAGAAGCTGTACGAACCGCATTTTCCAGCTTTTGTATGATTCCTGATGATCCCCGGCGCTCTTCTTTAAAGTCATTTTTCTTTCTCTGAAGTCAACGAAAACCTTCCAAAGTTGTACTGAACATCTAACACAACAGTGCTAAGCATGTTGCTGATGAGAACAAATGAGTTTTTGAAAAGTCAAATTTTTCGGCAAACCTCAAATTTCGACCTGTGGATCATCGAAATTTCATGACTTCAAAACATCATTTGTTCTTATCAGTAACATGCTTAGCACTGTTCGGTTAGATAATCTGCACAACCTTGGAGATTATTCGTTAACTTCGGAGAAAGAAAAATGACTTCAAAGAAAAGCGCCGGGGATCATCAGGGATCACACAAAAGCTGGAAAATGCGGTTCGTACAGCTTCTCGCTCCTCTTCAACATGTTCATAGTGAAGGGTAGTAGGAATACTTACGGATAGGTACACAACGTGAAATCCACGTATCTGGAGTTTCGAAATATAAAGCTTTCTTTTAAGCTGCGATCCCCTCCCCGCGCGGATGTTAGTGCATGCGGCCCTAAGTATCTGGAAGGGAAGCAAAATAGTGGAAGAAGTGAAAGGCGAGGAGAAAAGGGGATGGACAAGAAGAGGGAAATGAGGCTTAGGCCCGTATGCACTAACATTTTTGCGGCGAGGGGAGCGGCGTCCCCCGTTATGAAGGGACCGCGTGCGGACGCCGCTGCGGCTTTTTCATCATTGGGGACGCCGCTCCCCTCGCCGCAGGGATGTTAGTGCATGCGGCCCTTAGAGTAGTTATTTACGGGCCCTTTGCATCTTTGCATTTCAAGTTGGGTAGCGAGCATGCGCCTGGATGTTCTTTTTTTTCAATAGGCTACTACCAGGTAGCATTGGCGTATAGTTTTATAGAACAGAGTTACAACATGATAGCTAGTCAGCATCGGACTGATTAAGAACACCATAGTATTTCTACTGTCGGTTAGCTTTCTTCTCCAACGGGGACTCTATCAGTTGTCAGAAACTCTTGCTATGTTACGGGGCAGGTGGTGAACACCAGAAGTTGCGCGTGCGACATGGTTTCGACAGGGGGAGGCAAGAAGATTGTTGGACATCCGCTCAGTCGTGTTTTATGAATTAGTCAAAAAGTAGAGTGCCTTAAAATCCAAGATCTCAGCCGAAAAAACCCCACTGACTTCCTCGTCATACAAGAATTGGCACGTACGATCGGCTCCCGAATCGTGTGGAAGCGGGTGGCGGACTTTCCCTGATTGTAAGGATAAACCCAACGAGAGAGTACAAGAAAGTAAAATGCTGTGACGTGGAGGTTCAACAAGTCCATCCTGATGATCAGGGAAAGTCTGCAACGCCTCCACACGAATCTGGGACCAATGATACATCGGTGTGATTTCTTCACAGTGGCTAGAAATCTATAATCGGAGTAAAAATTTCCTAGCAGTCCTGGATCCTTCACACGTGAGCACATATATTCATTTTCATTTTCATTAGATACGCTCTAGGCGTTCCAAAACATTGACAAAAATGTGTTAATAATACATGAAACACAACAATAATGAACATTTCACCACATCTTTCAAGCCCAGACTAAGCTTATGAGAGAAAAGATTGTGTAGAGGCAGCTTGCGTAAACGCGTATAGATAACAATGCTTGCACTTGCGTGAACTCTATGGGGAAACACTCTGGAGAAGTACCCATGCCCCCTCGTTTGCCAGCAAGGAACGATCTTATTTTGATTTCATAATAGCAAACCGGAAGTTCGGCTGGCGGGTATACTGGCAGCCCCGCCCAACACAGTTTGCCGGGGAGGGTACAAAGCTCCAAGGAAATTTGAAATATATTGTAAATCGGACAAGCATCAGTCTATGTTGGTAAGCTGTACCAAACTAGTGCGTAGTAGTAGGTAGGCTGGGCTCGAAACTATGCGGTAAAAATCTGGGTTAGTAGAAGAACAAATCTAGCAAAGTAGATATAAACTAAGATTGTCGGACGCATGCGCTGATGGGAAGTCAGGAAAGCACGTGTGGCTGGCAAAGTGAGCATAAAACAATGAAGAGAAGCTCTACCTGCAAGGAAAGAAATCATTCAAGTTCAGCTTTTTGATTTCACGTTTGAATGATATACTATTTTTGCAGGCTAAAAGTTCTTTTGGTATTTTTTCCAGCATTCTCGATGCACGAACAAAGAAATCACTTTCTAATAAGGTGCAAAACTGAAACAATATATGCTGCAAACCTTCGCATGCATAACTAACAATTTGCACACTTGCGGCTGCACTAATGCCAGAGAATTCTCAGTTTCAGCTGCAAAAAGCACGAGAAAATTGCTATTATTTCCCCACAACTTGAAGTGATGGTGTAATCGTTGCTTTCACCTTGTGAAGCATCGCGACGAATTCATGATTCTCATTGTTAGAGGAGGTATTAGGAACAAATCAAAGTTAGACCCCGCGATCGAGTCATTTGAGCTGCCGTTTGAGGCAACGCTATACATCTGTGACCATCTTAAAATACCACGATTGTGGGCTACACGCTTTTTCTCAGTTCCAGAATTTCGTGATTTGGAGAAGACTGTTTTTAAGAACTCGCTGATATATAAAGACCAAGTCGAAATCAGCAGCGTTTATCAAAAATACATACAAAACAATATTAAAGCACTTGAGAAGTGAATTGCATGAAAGTGAGAGTGATCACATTCAGAGAATTATGCAAACATAAAAGTCGTCAAAACTCAGGGGTAAGGAGGAGAAGCTTAGCGCAAGTACTTGCGCATAGCAAAGTAGCATTTGGTCTCGGACACAATGGTGACGCCAAGGAGAACGGAGATTCCAGTTGAGAAAATCATCGTCCAAGGGCGGGTGTCAGACAGCAGCAATATTATCGAGCAAAGCACACATAAGACGAATAGCAAACTCTAAACATTTGGAGTGAATAAGTGAGAGGCTTGTTTACTTATTGTGTAACAAACCGTAAAGATCAAGTGTGGAAGCAAAAAGTTGTAGGAGTTGGTAAAAATAGCGGCGAAAGCGACGAGTATCGTGATCAACCATAAAAGAAACATCAGCCATGCCGCAAACACTACATCTCTGAGAACAGATAGATAAAACTTGCGCTCTCTATACTGCTGTATTTTACTTATTAAATGAGGTACGCATATTCGTAGAAAGTTTTCTGGATATTAGGATGGCCAAAAATCGATTTCTGTCGTTTTTTATGAATGTTCAAAAAAATTTCTTCGAACGATTTGATCTGTTCGCAAAAAATTCAAAGAGAGAAAATTAAAAATATATGAGTGAAAAACAATTCTTGATGATCAAATTACAGCGAGGTACTGTAATTCTTGCTTTTCAAAAGTCAAATTTGGATGTAAAGCTAAAATTGCTCTATATAGATAATCGCCTTTGAATGGTTAGGACTTAGCGGCAGTGTTCCAAATTTTCGCTTTTCGGTTTTTCATCTTTTCGGAGCCTTCCAGCCGTGCTGAAGCTATATCCGGGCTTTCAGCGCTTAGAAATGGCAGAAATGAGCTTTTCCTTAAGCCCTTCACCGCGTTTGCTCTAAAATGCGTGTAAGTAGGCGGGGTTCGGAAGACTTCCGGAGCGGATTTTGGGCTTTCCAGACGCGCTTTTTCGCTCGGACTTCACTGTGGATTAGGTGGGAGGAGGGCTATCATCGAAACACCGTAAAATCCCGGCACTCATCATTTTGCCAAGAGGTTGCCTCTAAGAAATTTGGGCGTCTAAAAAGCGATTTCTCACAATAAGCAGAAAATTCTCCATTTTCAAAACAGCAAAGCATAGAATGCAAGCACAGTTTTCATCACGGTTTGAAATTTGAATTGCAAAGCTTGTATTTACGTGTTCAGTAGACCACCTTACTCCCCTAGGTACTCTACAACGAAAAGAAGTGAAAAAATGCTTTGTCAAACTGCCGACATGGTAGAGCATTTTTGCTTCTTCCAAAAATGATATCCTCAAAGCTCTACTAAACAATGATTGCATAACTTTTTAGAGTTTAGCAATTGCATTTTAAAACCAAAATGATTTTTAGTCAACCTAATAATCAAACTTGAGAAAAGAGCAATATCACTTTCGTTTTCTTTATATTCGTTTTACGAAGCGTGAATACTCACTTTGACTCCTCGCTTTCAAAATGTTCAGTGTTTTTAGTGAGATTGAGGGAGTTCTCTACGAACAGAGACACGGCTACAATTAGCTGCAGAGTAACGAGCACAGATAAGGAGCCTTTAGCAGGAACATGGCGTTGATTGGGCTGGGACATGGGGATGAACAGGGAATCTTTGGGGACATGGCGTTGGCTGGGCTTGGACGGGGGCATAGCGAAGCTCAGACGGGTGGACTAGCTATGGGGGTCCACTTGGCGTTGTTGTAGTGACGGGCGAATGGGAGCAGAGCGGTGAAGTAGAGGATGAGCAGGAGTCCGACTAGGATCGGAGCACTGGTCGCCACACCGGCAACGATCAGCAGCACGGCTACTGGCCAGGAAAAGGCCTGAACACATGGAAGTTACGACCGTACGGCTTCGCTCGAACAAGCGTTCACTGCTGCGCTTTGTTATGAAATTCGATAGGCTATGAGCTGAACTAAACAGTAACTCACCAATAAGATGATGTGCTGCTTGATCACACCCGGATGATCCGAGAGAAGGCAAACGAAAACCAGAAACAGGGAAAGAATAAGCACCAGCAGCAAACACATCAGTGCCGCGCATAGCCATCTAAACCAAATAGGTGGAAAACAATAGAAAATTAGCATGCAAAATAAAAAGAAATAAAAATTCAAAACGAACTCACAGCGGGGTGTAATAGGCTCGCATATGGTAACCGACTCCTTCTGTCCATCCATGCAGCATACCTATACCCGTAACCCCAGCTATCAGAACAACCATTTCACCCGCAAGGACCACCTGGAAGAATGTTCTGAAGCATTTGGTCTGGTGCACTTGATCTTGGGTTATTCTTGGCGCAAGTAAGTAATTTCTGATCAAACCAAGCCGCAAAAGTTTTTTTATCTTCCTGAAAAAACTGGGTAAGTGTTTTTGTTGCTTCAAAAAATGGGAAAAATTCAGTACATCACAATTCACCCACAGAAATTTTTTCAAGATTTGCTAACTTTGAGTTGGGGTAGCTCAAAGCAAACTCGAGATTCAAAAAAATTGCCTAATTGTTCAATATTCAAATGAAACTAGTTTCATGATTTTGGATTTCAGCTCATGCCGTACACCTTATCAACAGTTGATCATTACTTACCGTATGTTCCATTTATGACATAACACTATTGAGCGTTTGGAATTCACAAAGCAGCGAACAGACCAAAAACACCTCTGAAAAACGATCGAGTAATAAAATTACGTTTAAATCACTTATTCGCTTACCAGCTACAGCTAATATCGAGATTCGTAGCACCCAATCTGGTTCAGAGAAGTCAAACTCTAATATTACCGAAGTGATCACTCGGGCAACAAACAGACAGAATACAAACTGAAAAGTAAAATTAAGGGGAATAGATCAACGCCTTCACTGACTTCCCACTGGAAGTTTGAAGCCTCAGGATCTATGAATTATTGTATTTGAGTATATTTGCTTGTCATGCGAAAAGAAGCCTCAGTAAGATAGTAGAATACACGTTGGATAGGCTCTTGGTCTTACTCTTTCAGGGTAGAAGTGCTCATCCAGTCAGCTAGTGAACTCTTGGATAAGGAAGTTCGAAAGCTTGTAGTGTTCGAAATTTGTTGAACAAGAATTTTTGCCCCATCCCCTATCGCAAATATTATTAGGTCAATACTTAAGCCTTGCATCTAAATACTGCAAAATTTGTTGCAAAACGTTTACAGCCGAATTATATTACTTCCCTGCATATTAGGTGAATTATCCTTATTATTATTACTGATTATTTGAATGAGGATGAAACGGACCGTTTACTAACGAAAGTGATTAGACCACGGCGAGAACGGTATATGATAGTATTAAACTTGAGATTGCGAATGTTCTAAATTTTTGATATAAGAGTAAACTACACTTTCAAACTGGAAGGGAGGAACATATGCTTGGATGCGGGTTCCTCTTTATAAAGACTATCTTGAAAGACTTGTAAAGGGCGATTTTGGGCTTTACACAGTGCCGATAGCTATCTGCTATTCTCCTATCAAATAGAACCAGCGCTAGCTCTAGTTAGGTGATATGTGGAAGAAATTCGACAAAACGAGCATTTTAGTCGAAATGTTGACCTGGATACGCAGCGGAGGAAATGGATGATTTTATGGAAAACCGTACAGCTGTTGAGAAAATGGTTCTTGTATGCCACAAGGAGGACGGCAAAAAGTGAGCCTTTCCTTTTTGTTAGGTACCCCTACAGTTAAGAATTTACTTGCTTTCAATAACTGCATTGCTCTGCACAAAACTATTGCCACAAACTGAACTTCAAGAGAGTGAAGACAGACAAGGCATGACCTATTTGGTCCCAACAGCTAGATTACCGAAGAGCGGTGAACCATTCAGCATGTGATTAACTGCTATGGAAACGCCCAGGTCGTTAACGCGGTTAGGTCAATTCAGAGATGCATAACAATGATGTTGAAAATGATCATCGACTCACGAGCAGAAATAGATGTGGTGCAAGTAGAGATTTTCGCTCTCCAGACAGACCAAACATCGAAATCACAGTAGCAAGGATCATCGCGAAGCTCATGCACGAGAACGCCCACCATTCGAGACTGAAATAAAAGCAATAAGGTTTAGACTGAAAAGTTTAGCTTTCTTAACTTTGGTCATGTTTTTGCGCAAAATGTTTTGACTTTGCGACTTTAACTGGTCCCATTGTTATGCCTCCAAAGCGAAAGAGTAGTGGTCAAATGCTCGTAGTGAAGTTGTATATATTCCGCATGCAGCACATGAAGTTTGTGTAAGGCACACGTAGCAGATTTCTGCGGGTATTTTTAAAAAGACGACACGGTGGTGAATTTTGTTCGGAGTGGTCGGAAACGAGCTTTTTTTTTTCAAAATAGATTTACGGGTGTCGCAAAAAGCGACTAGCAAATCTATGAAGCTATATAAAATTCATGTTTACTCATCAACAGCAATGATATTTTTTTATTAGTAACTAGTGTGATTCTTTTGCAGAATTTCGTACAAACTTTGCCAGAGGTGTTGGCTGATATGCATTTCCCCATGGCGAGGATTCAAAGTTTAATAGTTTTGTGCAGATAATCATGATATTTTCTTAAAGCCAATGTCTACTCAAAATCTATTAACCCCAGTTACTACATATCCTACTAGCAGGCCCTAAAAGTAAAACAACTCTTTGGTCCGGTCTTCCTGTTGTCTACAAAAGAAGACATCGGCCTGGATTCTCTTTCCGCTCCGCCCCTTTTTGCGCTCCACCCACCCACGGATTGTCACGTGACGTGTTCTGCCATGACAAGCAACGTCAAGACGCATCGTTTGTGATGTGGCACTGCTGCACACGACGAGGTTTCCTGTTGCATACGACGTGACTAGCGCCGAGGCACTCGTCCACGTCTGCCAAAACAGAACTTCAAAAAGGGGCAATATTGGAGCTTTCAGATAATTTAACCCCCATATCCGAAATCAGCACTCTGGAAAGGCCCGGTAACATTGAAAACATGGGAGACGAAAATTTGGGTGGACGCTGCCTGAGACCCGCAAGTCACTCCTTTCACGTAAGAGGATCCATAGTATCCCCTTTCCTTACTTCTCCTCTTCAAACTATTTAGCTTTCCGCCCCCACCTATCTTGCGGTCACGACAAATGAGAGTTGACATTGCTCGCAGCAACATAACTTTTTGAATGAGTAATACCCACTACAATTAACTCTCAATTGTCGTTCGCCCACATAGCAAAAGAAGCGTTTGGCAAAACCTGATGGGGAAGGTGCTGCCTCTTTTTTGCTCTTATATTACATGTTTTGTACAGCCTGATTTGCAAAAAAATCATTCGTGGGAGATATTTGGACATTCTCTAGTTTAAATGCATTAAGTATAATACATAGAAATTTGTTAATGTTTCTTTTTGCCTGTGCCTCCTTCTGCTTTAATTACTGATCTACTTTGAGGCACTTGATGTTATAGAATCGTTTTTTCAAACAATAAACTCCTGATTTCCTTGCGTCAAATTCTCTTCGGAAATGTATTTCATCCCATATGGCCAAAGTCGGAAAATCAAACCAAATTCTGCTCATTCGCGCATAAAATTGGACTCCATCGCCATAAAATGAATTGCATGATGCATTATTGAATTCGAAAAGTGAAGAGATGTTGCTAGCAAGGTTAGAGTTTGTCCTATAACAAAAATAAGCCGCAAAATCACACACTACTATAAGGCTGGATTCATAGCACTTTAGCCTTGACAAAAAAGTGTTTATTGGATACGATCTCTTCTTTCACAAATTAGAGGTGAAGGTATAAACTCGCTCTGCAAAACATGATGAAGCATCTAACATCCAACTGCACCGCGACAAAAAAAACACTAGTACAGCTGATCTTTATGCTTTATTTATTTCAAATTCAAGCAACGCTTATGGATATTTGCTTTTTCGTACTTTGATAAGAAAGTTTGTTTTACATCGAGCGACTGAATGTTTTGAAGGGAGCGTCCAGGAAAAATCTGTGCCATCCGAATTAGAACCTAGCCCAAAATCAGGCCCCGAAAGAGGGGCACTTGCCTTGGTTCGGTTCTCCAATGTGGCTTCTGAATGGAGAAAATGAGCCCAACCGCGAGTCTGCTTTTAAGCCACACCCACCTTATCAATCACCGCCCACCCATAGACTGAAAGACGCTCACGCTTTCGGGACAGAATTTCCAAAAATCGGGTTTTTAGGGGGGTTGCACATCAATTCATAACTGTGATCAGCGCCATGGAAAGGTCCCAGAATAATAAAATCATGGAATAAAGTAATGAATCAAATTGTAATGAAACGTTTCTGAAGTGCAACCATAACTACAAGTAAAGATATCTAGAATGTTTTTGTGAAAACACTAGTCATCATCACTCAGTATCGTTCCTTTTCTTAGACGGAGTTTTAGGCGCCTACTTTACTTTATCCTCGAAGGGGGGCAGAGATCTAAGGAGTTGAAATCTTTAGTAAATACTTGATCCGTCAAGACCTCTTAAACTCCAAATAGATATTTTCAAAAAGTTTCTTCGTTGCGACTAAGTATCCACAGACAGATTTTCATTACTTTGTGCTGAAGAACGCGTTTTACACAACACTTCCAGTTGTTCCAGTGGCTTGTTCTGTGAAAAATGGACTCTCAAGCCAAAAGTATTTTGTCACAGTTGCGAGGCCCCTTTACTTTAAAATTATTATCCCCTGCAGCACCATCTAAAGGGCAAGAGACGCCTAACTGCCTTCATTCAGAAGCGGACAGCACAAACCTGACATATTGCTTGTCCTCGTAAATGGACACGGACTGCAGCTTCGCAGCAATTACGGCCATCGACGCGACGAGGCAGGCCGCGGACAGGACGAGCTGGATGAGCAGGCAGGTCCATGTAACCGACCGTGTCGACACCATTCCGGGGCGATTTAGCCGTCCAGGGCCAGAAGTTTCAAGTCGTTGTGCTCAAGCGGAAACGAGCTCGTCCGGACTAAACTAGTAATGCAAATTCATGCTTTCGATTGGCATGGCTTTCGGAAAAACGCAACATGCGAAGAAGAAAAAAGCTTTTGGGAGCTCTTAGCCCGTTTAAAGAATTTCCGGGCAATACTAATCATAGAAACAAAAGAGGAACGCCGGAAATAGCCGGCCGCTGAAACATGATATGATAGATGGCGAATTGCTCAGTTGAAGTCATGGCGAAAAAACACATGTGATTGTTTTCGCTTGTAATCGTAGATGACGGAGCTGCATATGCTATGAATATAAAATGTGGGCATGGATGTAGATTTGACGTAAAGCTGACATTTTCATATGAAGAAATATGGAAAGCAAATGGAGTGGAAACCTTCGCTAATATGAAAATTGTGATTTGTTAAAAGCTAAAAATAATAGGGCATTTTCTGTAGATTCTTCCAGGCAAGATTTTCATGGGGTCAAAGTCGCAACTAAAAATTCTGTGAAAATGTGAAGAGACAATAGCTAAGGGAGTAAAAAAATTCCACTACCTTTTTTGCGCTAATTTTCCTATCAGGATAGTGGCGAATGACTTCTCCACAAATGGCTAAGACAAGGAGCAGAATGCATTTTTCAAGACGGTATTGAATTTCAGAAAATTTCTAGCTCCATGATTGATGATTTTTGCCGACCGTTGTGCAAACACATATTGTAAACTTTAAACAGCGAGAGGCTTAACAAAACAGCAGCAGCTTGTCATTTGTGTGTACAAGCACAAGTTCTTAAGTTTTTGTTTTGACTCAATAGCTTTCTGAAAAGTGCACTACAGACTTCTTGTTCACTACAATGAAATAGTACAATTCCATTGACCAAATATGTTACGCAGATTTTTTGCACGATAGTCTAGTCACAAGGTGGATCAAAGGGTATGAGAAGGAAAAAGCCATTGTGATTGGACTAGCGATAATGGAATTATCGAGAGGTCATTATAACAGAAATGGATACAAATCAGTAATATATGATTACACAGTGTTACTTCATATTCTTTTTTTTTAGAGATGGCAAAAGTGGAATTTATCGTCCGTGATATACTATGAAACAGTTCAAATGCATCCGCTACGGAAGGCACTCCAAAGCCAAGCTGAACAAACTTTGAAGCAAAACTGCGCCGTTTCCTTCCACTATATCACGGTCAGGGCTCGACACGACTGGCTCCAGGGAAATTCCAAAACGAAGTCCCCTTTGACCTAAACCCTGATTGTAAAAGACCCTAAAAAACGAGACGGCGACCGAAGAAAGCAAATCGTAACAATTTTTGTGTCTTTTTGGCTACAAAGACGATATCCCTTTTGATTTTTGTTCCAAAAACGATATCCAGCTTGACCTGGTGTTAGCTGTGCCAAGCCCTGTTCACGGTTGAACATAACTTGCACAGATGCTGGAAGACTCATCGGCAAAGGCTTGTATGTTGTAATATATACACACTAAAGGTTTTTTATCTAATATAAACATAAAAAATGGAGGATTCTCACAAAGAAGTCCAGCAAGATTGTTCTTTAGTCATGCAAGTCGCGAATTTAAAACGAGGTATGGGCGTCTACGAAATCTTAGATGTTGGCGTAAAACTTATTTACAACTGAGCAAAGTAGACTTCGGAAGGCTAAATTGAACTCTTTATGCTTTGAAAGAAGTTTGAGCAAGCGAAGCTGGGGTGGAAGCTAAAACTTGTGTTCTAGCGGTACTAGAGATGAGGAAGCGCTGTAGTATCTATGGTTCAAAAAAGCTTCTTTCATTGAGAAATCAATATATTGATTGATATATCTATTTTTGATTTATCATTCGTTATACATAAATCAAATCAATTCATAAGACAGCTGTAAGACAAGCAAAATATTGAAAATTTAAAGAGTTTCGAAGCTGTGTTTTCATGGAGGCAAAAAAAATGTCCAAGTCTGAAGTTCAGCGCAAACTCGAGGAAATGTAAGTGATACACGGCAGCGCCGAGTACTGCCTCGTCGTCAGAGCTTGTTTGCTCATTAAAGCAATAAGCGGTCGAATACTGACATACGAACGTGCACTAAGCAGTCTAGAGATGCTCTTCTTAACGATGCCCAAGTGTCCCACACATTCTTCTTTTTGCTGCCAGCGCCGCGCTCCAGTGTTCTCCCACTCTCACTGTCCAAAAAGCCTTAGAATGTGGGAAATGAACTTGTGTACTAAATCGAGCAGAGGAAATGCACTTATCACGGCTCGAATCTAAGAAAAACAATCGTATCTCTTCTTGAATGCGGCCTTCTTTGATTTCAAATTTATTTACTGCAGTAGATAAAATAGGAACAATACGAAACGTCTGAAGCGATGCGCCAAAAAGTCGTAATATGGACCAGCACTACCCATTTCTACTTCTCTAGGATGCTTATTTTCTATTGGCTGAAGAACAACTACGCTTATGCCATTTCAACGGTCACTTTGTGTAATTGCACCACTTTTGCAGTCTGTGAAAATGATTACAATAGCAGATTTACTATCTCTAAGGCCTCGGACAGAGTTTCCCAACACGACTAATCGTGACTAACTCTCACAACCGAAATACAAGAAGATTGGCATGCAATGGACTCGTAACAATTGTCTTTAGCGATTGAATCGCGACGATCAAATCGCGTGAACTCTGCCCGGCCTAAGAGACCAATATAAATACTGCAAAAGAGACATGAAGACTCACAAGGGAGGAAAGGTTAGTCGAAGTGGCCTTTCTGTATGAGCTGTATACTGACTTGAAGAGTACAAAATGCTGATTCCAAGTATACATTTCTTATCTGCTGCGGGTTTAAGAGCAAGGAGTTTTCAAGGTCGTTATACACAAAAAATTTAATGCATGATCAGCGTAGAATCAGTCGTTGACTTTTCCTAGCGTTCCGAAGTGGCAGAGTGGATATGTTTGGATTAAGAACTCATTGCACTGAGTAACCCGAAAATCATTCGAGCAGTAGAAAAAATGACTGATTTTATCTTATTAACCATGCAAACTCTTGCTCATAAAAACCTTCGTAACTTCTCGCTTAGAAACCTGCAGCAGATAAGGAAGGTAGAATTGGAATCAACGTTTCGTACCCTTCAATAGTAGTTATCTCATATCAAAAGGCCACTTCGACTGACTTTTCTTTCCTTCTCAGTTGAACTTTAAGCTCAAGACTCTGAATTGATGGGTAGAAGTGGTGACGGAGTGGTAAGCGTGAAAAGCGACTATGATAAATGGAGTGCAGTAGGCAGACCCTCAAAACATTTTTGAGACATAGAGCAAGTGGTTTGGGTTCGAGGTCCAAGGCGAAACGATTTAGCATCAGCTGTCCAAACCATATCTTAAAATACTAGAAATCTGCATCAGTTTTGTATTCGTAACAAACTTCTACTAAACTCGTTCAATAACTTAGACCACGGCGATGTCAAAAGTGGAAATATGTTAAAATTTTTCTGAAAGTGTTTCTTGTCGACTTCAAGAGCATCTTGAGCGCACTGTAAAGAAACGAATGAATAGACAAATAAATAACTAAACAAATGAATGAAAGAGAATACTTTGTAGTCGTTTAAATGTTGGAGGTTTCATAGGGTAAGGCGAAAGTGGAAAGATTTGCGAAAAAGATCTTATTTTGTAACTGTAATTGCAGCCTGAAGTAGGAGTAGATTAACAGAACTTTGTTAAAGTCGAACTAAAACCTGTGACACTGCTCCGAGTGCGAATGCATCTGTTAGAAGGTGTTAGAAGAAAAGACTCTTGCACTTGTGATCGTGCAAGTAGTCCTAAGCTCTAGAACATGGCTCACGTTGCTTCATTCACTCGACGCTACTAATGTAATGAAGGAGGATGCCCTTCACGGCACAGATATTATTGTGTTGGCTAAAAAATAAGTTTGGTCGTTATTACGGATGTGGAGGAATGTTACTAACTGCTTTTAGTATAAAAGTATGGTATCAGTTGGAAAGAACAGATGAGAATCGGATAGTCGACTCTGTTCGAGAATTATCTCTTGACGAAATGGCATAGGAAAAAATAGATTTCTTCATCAAATTTTTAACAAATCATGCATGTTATACAACTCAAAACTTCGAAGTTGCGCATCAGAACTAGCTTTTTCATTAACCAACCTAATAGTTATCGATGTGTTCAGACATATACGATAAAAAGGAACGAAGAAATTTACGCAAAGAATGAAGATAATTTTAAGAATTATCTTCTTGCGGATATATGACAGGGATATATTCAAAACAAGCTGAACGCTGCCATTTTCTTATCTAAAGTGAAGCTGAGCCTAAGTAATGGAAGACAAAACCTAAATTAACAGATAGCGTTTATAGAATTCATTCATCAACTGATAGAATAATTTGAAATTACTTGCTTTGTTTCATAGAAGAAAAAAAATCCAAAAATGTGGCTGATCCAGAAAATAAATTGCCGTAATTTTTCGCAAGAAATTTTTGAACTATCCAAATGATTTCTTACCTTCAAATCGCAAAGCTTATCGTATTAATATCCTGCGGAAGCCCACAATCTGGCAAAACAAAGTAGGATATCAAAGCAATTTACCAAAGCTTTTATTTTCCGTGTTGATTCATTGTCAAAAAACGGGATATATTGTTTGAAAATTGCATGAAAGAGGGTAAATTTGTGGAAACAAAGAGCGGATGGTACGAAGTGAGCTTTTAAATACTTCGAAAGGCTTCCACGGATTTGAGCAAAGCTGGGAAGATGATGCGGCTTAGGCAGCTTAGTGACAAAGACCCTCTTTTCCAAGTGAATTCGTGAAAACAACTCCGTCATAGTCAAAGAAAGGGGAAGGAAGACTCAAATGAGTGGAGAAGACTCACAGGAACACTTAAAGCTAGTTAAAGATATATCAGAGGATAGAGCTACATGAGAACATCATCTCAAATTCGAACGAGAATATTGCTGCAGTTATTCAGCAAGGGAAAGCAAAGAGAAAGAGGCGAAAAGACCCAAGGGAAACGCTTGCTGGAGAATCGCAAGCGTTGTCTGGTTG